GTTTGTTTGAAACCAGAGGCTGAGTGTTTTTCATCTCCCTCCTTCATGCCAAGCACAGTACCCGGAACAACATAGACATGCAATGCACATTTCTTGAATCAAATGAATAATTAATTAATGTAGAAAAAGGTCATATGCAAAGATATTCAGCAACCCATACACACATGGCAAAATACCCCTAGGGCTGATTTTTGGTATCATAGGCACCTGTTCCCTGATCCTGCCTCACTCTGTCCTGCAGGCTTCTGCACCCGCCCTCCACATTCTTATCCACCACAAAGGTACCTCTCACCATTAGCCCAGCTTGTCATCAGGTGCTGAATGTGTGTCTCCACCCTTCACCGTTCACTAGGAAAGCCTCTGGAATGCTAGCGTTTATCTTTTGGAAAGTTGCCAAGCACAACAGTAAAGCTGTGTGGCTTTTTTCAACTGTGCAACTTTAACATGTCTCAAGGAGGTGCTGAAAAAGTCGTAAAGTACTAAGTCCCTCCTTAGTGATATTTCAATCCCTTTGGAAATAAGTAAATGTGAAAAATTAAGAGGAAAATAAAATCGCTGAAAGATTTCAATTGTTTTCTTTATTTTTAAAAATTTATTTTATTTTACTCTTAATTGACAAATAATAATTGTAGATATGTATGATTATAATGTGATTGTTTTGATATATGTGTATATTATACCACCACATATCTTCAGTGATAGATACAAACAAGTACTTCCTAAAACAGTCATGCAAGAATTAAGAACCATAAATCCTAATTTTTTACTCTGCTTCCGCATTGGATTGTGACTTGGCTTTAATCTCTTGCATTTAGAAAATTTAGATTTTCTCCTATTTATAAAATAATTCAGGTATTTCTACAATGTATGTTCACCTCTGCAAAATTGGACACTAAAAATAAGAGAGCTTATAGAAAGAATAGAATTGGGGCAAATTCCTCGTAAGCTATGGAATTTTGCAACCAAGAAACTAATGAGAATAATTAACACTCCTAATAGAAATACCAGCATTGTTAAATCTTTCTTTGTATTTACGTCCAATCAGTTAATCTTCACAGTTTTAACTCCTGGTTCTGGTAATTTCCCTTTGAAGGAGAGATCCTAGAGGACATTCTCTTCTAGTAGATTATTTAACAAACATTAGAAATCTTATCCAGAGTGTAACTTTTTTTTTTTAATAAAAGGGAAATGTCATTCATTGAAGCTTTGTTATCTGCACTAACAGTTTACCCAAGAAGCTGGGCATAGTAGAAAGTGTAGCAATTCTTAAGGCCACTAATCTAGTCTCCACCTGCAGTTCTGCAGATTTCCAGAGTTAATTGTCAGGTCTTTTTCACAGATTGTTAAGGCTCTTTCTTTAGTTGTAAGAAAGCCTACTCTGACCACTTTAAAACATTAACCTGCTGGAAAAAAAATTATACATAAACTAAGACACTACTGCTGTGTTATGAAGACATTATTCTCCTATTATCTCCTATTTGCACCAGGGAAACAGTATCAATGAAACAGCTTTAAAGTAGAGCAGATTGTAGTTCTAAATACTTATTTAGTTTATGAACAAAATAATTAACATAGTTTAATATGATCATGTCATAAAACTCTTAAAATTCCGTGAGACAAATCTACTATGTAGCTATCAGTATTTCTTTGGAACCTCACAAATAACACTTGCTACAATCACTTCCACTTTCACATTTAAAGGAAATGTATTTTTAGCCAGGGCAACTCCTACCTTGGCTATCTTCCCAGAAAGTTGTGTGTTAAATATATTGAGGCAAAAACAATGAAGACTTGCTCAATTTTTGCTGTGGAAGTTCTTTCGGGCTTTTCCAACACCTTACTGACCAAATGATTTGGAAGACACAGTTCTAAATTCTGCAGCTCAAAATGCTTCTATTGCAGTCTACTAGTTTATTTCCCTCTGGAATAAGGACATTTAAGTATCATTGGAAAGGAACTGTGCTGAATCTGGCATAAATATAAGTCATCTCTTTCTAAGCCTACCAGCTTGACTCAAAAACAGTTGAAATATAAGCAAGAATGATACTGGAGTGCATTGGTACAAAATAAAAAGAAGTGTTTCATTACAGCAGGGATACTTTTAATTTTGCATTTTAGTCTGAAACTAAGTTATGCTCCTGGAAATTGGATGATAAATGTATGTAGTATTCTTCTGTGAGGCTACTGTTTCAGAAGAGGTATTTAGCATTTTTATCCTTCTGTATTGATCCTAGGTGAGTTTCTATAATATTAGATATATGTACTCACAATTCATCTACTCATAGAGTTACAGATGTGCAGAATGTTAGAATAGATTGGATCTTAGAAGTCAGTTAGATCATCTGTAGCTTCCTTTCATAGGCCACAACATTGAAAGTCACACAGAAGAAATGAATGGTGGGATATTATAATATTTCTTACAATATTTTCTGGGTTTTTTGAGGGGTAAGTGTGGGAAGAAATTATGATCAGCTGGCAGAAAGGAGAGTGATAATGTGTGGTTTTCTGGTGTGTATATTAAAGCTTATGAATAAAACTACTAGGTATAAGAACTTACCCAACACACAGTGAACCTCAAGGGAGATGGTTGCCTATCTGGTTTCAATTTGATTAAGTTTATGTTCTATTTGATGCTTATTATGTGGGAGACACTGAGCTAGGCGGTTGGCATACAAAGACAAGCAAGAGAGGCAAACATAATAACACTGTTTCTTGAAATTAGTCTTAACTTACTTTGAGATCCAGTTCTACCATCTATTAATTTATTATTAGCTTATTATTAATCTTGGGCAAATCACTCAACCCCTTAGATTTTCAGTTTTATTTATCTGCAAAACTAAGATCCAGTTTGTAAAGTTTGGTTTAAGGAATTAAATATCTCATATGCAGTCGCTTAGCACAGTGCCGGGTATCCAAGATGTATTTATCTCCCCCAGATCTAGAGCGAGAAGCCTTAGCTTTAAGGTACTCATAATCCAATAGAGACATGAGTAGTGGCTTACCAATGCTGAAGAACAGACATATAATGAATATATGGGAGCACATACGGAAGAGACTGTGTTTCTGATGGAGAAGGATTAAATGTCGGAGAATAATAAAGGAATGTTAGGGGAAGAAACCAAGGAATTTCTGATATGGAAATAGGCAGGAGATAGAAATATGGAATAAATGTTGAGGCAAGGCATAGACTATTTATACATAGTACGTCTACTTTGTTGAAAATTGGAAACTTTTAGATTAATAGAGAACAAAGAATCATGATTTGTATTATTTCATTTATGCTGATTTCATTCATTCTTTTCACAAATAGCTTCTATGTGTCAACCACTAAACTAGGCACTGGGTATCCAGAGGTAAGCAAAAGAAGACAGTTCTTATTTTCCTGTAACTTACGGTACTTAGAAGGACAAAGAGATCACTAGATTCATAAGTGCTGATAAAATGCAAAGTGCTGTGAAGGAAATGAAGATGCCATTATGGCACCCTTGACAGAACAAAAGGGTTTAGATAAAAGATGTAGGAATACCTTCCTAAGCAATGATGAATCCTGAAGAGAAAGAAGTAGCTAGCTACACTCAACCAGGGAAAAAAATCCAGGCAGAGAGACCAGCAGGAGAGATTTAGAACTGAAAATATGTGTTGGTTCTAGAACACGTACACTGTGTGGCTGATAATTTCAGCACAATACCTGGAATGTGCTAGATCCTCAACACTTGAATGAATGAATGAATGAATGAATGAATGAATGAATGAATGAATTCTAAAAAGACTGATTAGTTAGCAAAGCTGTTGGGCAGGAAAATGACGTAGTCAGATTAATACTTTAGGAAAAGCAGTTCTGCAGCCATCACCAATTAAGATAATTTTGCAATAGCACAAGATTAGAAAGACTGAGAATATATCTAAGACAGGGTTTGTGAGAGACCAGGAGTGAAATGGTTGGGATGGTAATGACAAATAGCTTGATATTCCTACCAATGAAAGGCTAGCTCGGCCATGGTGATAGTGGTAGATCATGGAGGTCCTATGTGTGTTACTTCAGGTCCTAAACTTTATCTTGTGGAAAACAGAAACGTTTTGAAGAGTTTTTAAGCAGGGGTGTAACTGGTTGCAGTTGCATTTTAGATAGGGCATTCTGTGACAGTATGGAAGATAAATTTGAAAGCTCCTCAGATGAAAGGAGGGTTGAAGGCTATTGTAATAGTCCTGTGAGAAATAATGAATAAATTAGATTAGTGGGAAGTAAGCAAATGTAGGAGGCTATTGTAATATTCCAGGTGAGAGAAACAATGAGTAAATGAAAGAAAGCCATATATCAGACAGAAAGAGCATTGACTCAAACTACTTTGAAAGCAGAATACTTATTTTATTTTATTTATTTTTGAGATGGTGTCTCTCTCTGTTGCCCAGGCTGGAGTGCAGTGGTGTGATCTCGGCTCACTGCATCGTCTGCCTCCCAGGTTCAAGCAATTCTCCTGCCTCAGCCTCCTGAGTAGCTGGGATTACAGGCACCCGCCATCATGCCTGGCTAATTTTTTTATTTTTAGTAGAGACAGGGTTTCACCATGTAGGCCAGGCCGGTCTTGAACTCCTGACCTCAGGTGATCCACCTGCCTCAGCCTCCCAAAGTGCTGGGATTACAGGCGTGAGCCACCGTGCCTGGCAGAATATTCATTTTAGTGCTTAATTGGGTGTGCAGGGAGGAAGGAGTAGGAGGAGTTCAGGGTAATTCACAAGTGTCTGACTGCAGTGATTGTGCCATTAAATGAGCAAGAAAACTAGGAGGAAGACATGGTCAGGATAGGAAAAGGTCATGGGAGTGAGAGTGAGACATAAAATCTGAGGAGCCTGTGGTACATCCCAGTGAAGATACTCATTAAGCATTTGGATATTCAAGTTTATATCCCAGATGTGAGGGCAAAGCTACAAAGATAGGTGAATGGATAGAGAGATAGATACGTAGATAGGTAGCTACCTAGATATAGAGGATAGATACTTACATATAATGGATGATAGATAGAGTCATCTTAATATGAGAGTTGCTTAAACCATGTGAATCACCCAGAAAGACCTGTTGAATGGAAGAACAATGGGTAAGAACATAACCTGGAGAAGAAATAGCTTGAGAGGGCAGGGTTGAAGGCCCATGTATGAGAGTAAGAAGGAACGAGAAAAGAAATCAGAGGATGACCAGGGGAGAGAATTTTTATGATAAACAAGAAAGTTAAGAGCTTTTATTAAAAAAAAAAAATGGACAATACCATCAAATGCTACAAAGTGGTCAAGTAAGATGAGGGCTGAAGACAATCCAGACATATTTGCAAGAATAAGGACTGAACATTGTGGAGATTATGGCCAGAGTAGGATACTGGAATTGAAGATTTTGAATAGAAATTAGTCTACTTGGTGACCAAGTCCCAGGTGAAAATATGACTATATGTGTGACTGAGGCGGAGGGGCAGTCAAGATCTTTAGAGATGAGGAAATCAGGGGACTGTACGGGTCGGGATTTCAGACGGGACATCCATGTGACCACTGAGGTCACCGATATGTTGGCAGGATACAAGGTACAAAAAAAGACAATTTTCCCCATCCTTTATGTTTGAGAAGTGAGTAGGAGACCAACTGAAGAATTTATACTAAAGGCAATGAGGTTTTACACAGGGAAAATAAAGCAATTGAGTTTTCTTAAATCAAGTATAGTCTAAAGATGCCTCCTTGCATATTTTAAGTTTGGCCTAAAGATTTCTCTGTACCTCGTGGACTGTAACCTAAATGAAGTTGTATACAGACTGTACTCTACTCTTGTGCCAATCACCAAGTTTTGGCCAAAGGTGCCCAACCATTCAAACCATGTCCAACTAAGGCAAATGCTGAGCTGTAACCAACCTGACTGTTTCTGTACCTCACTTTCATTTTCTGTGCATCACTTTTCTTTTTCTGTCCATAAATCTTCCACCACGTGGCTGCACTGGAGTCTCTGACCCTACTCTGGCTCAGGAGACTGCCCGATCTGTGACTCATTCTTTGCTCAGTTAAACTCTCTTAAATTTAATTTGGCTAAAGTTTTTCTATTTACAATTTTGATGCAAGAACTGGGATATAAGAGATTATTGACTCCACTTTATAATCTCAAAGTTCTTGAGGTCCTCATGATGTATGAGTTCAGGATTGTACTGAAAAGGAAAAATGAAAAATTGGTCATAAATAGGAGGCACAGAAGAGCATAGGTTGAGATCAGAGAGAAGTCAAATGGTTTACATTTAAGGAGACATATCAAGGGCTAATGAAGAGCTTTCAGGACAGCAGGAATTAGTGAGGACAAAAAATTAAACCATGGTCCCCACCCTCATGGAATGTATACTACTGTGGATAGATGTATCAAAGACTCGATACATGTAAGGTAAGATACATGCCAGATAAGCAGTAGGAAGGAAGTGAACACGGGATGAGAAAGCAGGTTATAGGAGGGGTTGGTCTGCTTAGCGAGGAGAGGCTTCCTGAGAAGTAATAATTATGTTGGGTTCTGAAGGAGCTGGTGGTCTGGGGAGAGGGCACGCACAGGGGAGTGGGGGGACTGTGGTAAGAGGACAGTGTGTGCAAAAGCCTGTGGTAGGAGGACCAGGAGCATCCTATGTCGGGTGGGGTGCACAGCACAGTGAGCATGTGCCGTGGAGAGAAAAGCTGGAGCTAATCATGTCAGGCCTTAGCAGCTTCCAGGAAGGGTGGTCTTTATTTAAGGGCATGTTTTGTCCCTGTGACAAGAATCCCCAAACTATCCCTCTAAGGCAGATGGGGAGACCCAAACACATCCTATTTGTTCTGACTGACAAATCAGTTGGTGAGCACGGAGAAAAAAATCTACCTTTGCTCCAGTGAAGGCTGTTGTGATGCTCACAGTTGACATTTACTTCTTCGAAAGGATTTAACATCTTGGGGATCTTACACAGTTGGTTCTTGGTATCCACAGGTTCCACCTTGGTGGATTCAGCCAACCGCAGATCTAAAATAGTTTTTAAAAGCAATAAATAATTAACAATAAAAAAATAGAAATACAATACAATACAATATAACCACTATTTACATAACATTTACATTGGATTAGGTATTATAAATAATCTAGAGATGATTTAAAGAATATGGAAGGATATGCATAGGTTATGTGAAAATACTACACCATTTTATTTAAGGGATGTGAGCATCCAAGGATTTTAGCATTTGCTAGAGTAGTCCAGGTATCATTCTCTGCTCTGTGAATACCAACTGTACTTGTGAACAAAGTAGGCAGGTTAAAGTGTCACGTGAGCCCATCCTCCCCCACGCTGCTTCCTGTCTCTCTCCCCTCCATAGGTAAAACAACCTCTTTTGCTAGGACAGTGGTGGAGGGGGGAAGTGAATTAGAAGATGACAGAGATGTAAGATGCCTTTTGATAGAGCTGTTTCAAGAATATTGTGTGCATAAAAATCAAATTGCTGTAAGTAAACAAGGAAGTAAAAGTGTTTAGCTAGACAGCGCTTTCAAAAAATGTCAAGAGAATGAGAGGAAGAGCGATGAAAATGAACCCTGAAGAGAAATGAGGTTAAAGGAAACATACTTGTTCATATGGCCTTTTGCAACAACTCTTTGAAGAAAAAAGTTCAAACATTCACAAAAGTAGAAACAATAGTAAAATGAACCATGTAATTTACTCAGACTAAACAATTATCAACAATCACATTGCTACTTTTGCAAAATTTTTCTTTTCTCCTGCTCTTTGTGAAACTCCCTTTGTAAAATTACAGGTAGAGAAATTTGACATGGCCGACGCCATCTTGCTTCTCACTTCACAGGCTGGCTGTTGTCACTCATTCCTGGATGTATGCCAAGCTAACTTTGGGGAAAATTTAGTTTATAGTTTAAATGATAATAGGCCTTCCCAAAAACTAAGCTACCTTTGTAAAACTAATGAAAGGTCACAAAGTTATGAGGATGAGAGGATCCTGAACTCTACTACAATGTAGGCACAGTTAAATAATCACCAGTCATTATTCTGGAGGTCCCAAACTTGTGTCTTCCCCAATAACTCCTGCAGATAGCGTCACTACTGTAGAACCTATGACTGGCTTTTTGAGACGTCTTCTCAGGTTTTTGCATTTCTGACAACCAAATGGCTCCATTGGGACTCACCAACTGGTCCTGTGGCCCAACCCAGGAACCAACTCAGCACAATTGAACAGCTTCAAGTCCCTATGATTTCATCTCCTACCCAACCAATTCCTGGCTCCCTACCCACCAAACTATCTTTGAAAAACCCCTAACCTCTGAGCCTTTGGCAAGATTGATTTGAGTGACAATTCCATCTCCCACAAGGCATGGTTAGGCTCCTGTCAATTAAACTCCTTCTTTACTGCAATGCCATGGTCTCTGTGAATTGATCTCATTTGTGCAGCAGGCAGGAAGAACCCATCAGGAAATTACACCTTTTCCCTAAGTATTTTATGGCAAATTCCAGACATCATGAAATTTAACGTAGTCTTCCTATTCTTACCTATGCTTCACTAAAAATTTATTTTTTCTTTTATGAATATAAAGCTATTGTTATATACAACCAAATTACCAATAATTCCTTGTCATAACTGATACTCAATTCATATTCAAAATTCTTTCATTGTCTCAAAAAATATCCTTTCACAATGAGCTTATTGGAATCAAGATTCAAACATGTTCCAAGTATTATACTGAATTGCTATGTCTCTTTTAAGTTTTCTGCCATCTAAAGTAGCCTCTCTTTGTTACTTTTTATTTTCATGCTTTGGATTACCTGATAAAACCAGTCAGTTTTTCTACCTCTATATTTTTTATAAATAAAAGTTAGCTTTAAATCCACCCTTCATGGGTGGATTTCATTGGTTTGTTTGTTTTTAGTGATGAGGAGGGCTTAAATTTGTCAAACACAGAGTGAAATTAAAAAGTTGAAGATAGAAGGGAAGGCAAAATAATTTTTAGTGCAAAATGATGAAGAGGTGGAACATAAAAGTTAACTTTGGACTGAAATCAAAGTTTTCTTTTTCTGAAACAAGAGACAGAGATAAAAATGAATAAATACGTTGGTAAATTTTGAAATGGTAACAGATGTGATAGTCAAAATATTGATTAATAAGCATAATAGTGATAGTCAAAAATCAGCTTGGAAATGAATTGAATTATACAAATCAAGTCTAATACAGACTGGTCCTGGTTATGAAACAGCGTGCTGGCAACTTCACAGCATCCAGCTAGTTCCAGGAGATTTGGGAGGCCTGCCAGTTCCTACACACAAGTCCCTTGTAGACTAAAAGAAGTAGAACATTCCTCTTGTGGGCCCCTCTCACCTCTCCACACCAGAATGCCCGCCATGTTTGACATGGACATCAATCATATGAAACAGATTGTTGCAAACAAACCATGTATGTAAGGGTATTGGTTCACATCAGGTACATATCTGTTTTCAGTGATGGGAAGGAACATTGATATTTGTGCCTAATGGCTTTTATTTTCTCACTGAAGTAGAAAGTAAAGTTACTGGATAAAAGGGAAAGTTAGGATATGGTGAGAATTTTTACAGGTAGATATTTGGGGTGACTGTAGTAGTGAATGAGAAAGTATCTTAGCCAAGGATGAGGTAAAGAGTTTCTGTCAAAATCAAGGACCCAGAGGGAATAATTCAGTTCTGGGTCCTGAAGGTACTCGGTTGACCGGTTATAGAGACAAAGCAAGTGGAATTACTAACATTGGTGAAAAGATTTCCAGGAATCAACAAAAACAATATGACTTGCATATATACAAATCTTACTGGTGTTTTTTTTTTAAATTAGTAACTGAGGAGAAAAGACAGAGCAAAAATGGTTAAATATTAACAAGTGTTAGGGCCTGGCACAGTGGCTCACGCTTGTGATTCTAGCACTTTGGGAGGCAGAGGCAGGTGGATTGCTCCATCACTCCAGCTCAGGAGTTTCAGACCGGCCTGGGCAACATGGCAAAACCCTGTCTCTACAAAAAATACAAAAATTAGCCAGATGTGGTGGCACATGCTTGTAGTCCCAGCTTGTAGACTAAAAGACTACTCAGGAGGCTGAGGCGGGAGGATCACTTGAGCCCAGGAAGCAGAAGTTGCTCTGAGCTGAGATTATATCACTGCATTCCAGGCTGAGTGACAGAGCGAGACCCTGTCTAAACAAAACAAAACAAAACAAAATGAAGAAAACCAATTGTTAGTAGAAGATGGTGAGAATATGGGTATTTATTATATTTTGGATACTTTTCTATGATTTCACTATTTATAAAACCTTTAAATAATTGACAGATGAAAGCTAGATTACTAGACATATATAGTTGAACTAAAAATCAGCTTTAATGAAAATTATTATGAATATATACTTCTGTTTTTTAAATCAGATACTCATAACAAAAATATAAATAATTAAAGAAAGAAGTTAGAGAAAAAGTAAAAAAATAAACAGCCAAAGCACTATAATATCAGCACCCCAGTTTATGTATTTCTATTCTCAGTTCTCAAATGAATTTTCATTTGGGGAGGGGCACACAGCATAGCACAAGTTTGTGTAAGTTTTTATTTTAAGAACATATAGTTACAATTTCCATATTATTGTATAAATTTTGTAGCAATTTTTCCTACAGTTTTGTCATAATTTTTAACTATTTTTATAGAAATATTTAACCATTTTTAGTTAAATATTATACTTACCTATTACCCTAGTGAGGTTGCTTTTAGATTTATACTCTTATAAATAATGATGAATGAATATATTTTTTGTTGTTTATTTTCTGAAAATACAGATTTTTTTGGATATTTATGAGTCAAAGGGTATGAAAATTACTAAGGTCCTTCATAACAGGTTTAAAGTCTTGCTCCACGAAGCCCAATTGATTTCTAAGAGGATTTACATTTCTACCAGCAAGGTATGAGACCGTCTATTTCACCATACCCAATTCAGCATTAGATAGCACTTACTAATATCTCATGGATAGCTAACTTTCTAGATGAAAATTTACATTTTAATAATTATGATGGCTAACATCTACAGAGTACTGCTCTATAAGTACAGTTAAGTACTTTACAAACATTCATAAGATATGCCTTGCTACTGTCTGGATCTTAAAGAGAATTAAAGTATGCAGTCAGCCAGCCAACGACTGTAAATGAAAGAAGCTCCTGCTAAGTGCCAGACACTGTTCTGGGTGCTGGAAATACAAGGATCTTACATAGCACAGATCAGAGAAACAACATAAACAAAACATATAAATAAGTACAATAATTTCAAATAACAGTAGGTGCTTTGCAGAAAACAAAATAGAATGATATATAAGAAAGTGATGGAAGTAGGGCATTGGGGGAACTATTTTTACTAGGATAGTAAAGGAAAATCTTAATAAAATGACATCATTTCAGTTGAGACCTCAAATGAGAGGGAATAGCTGTTTGAAAATCTCAGGGAAAATCATTCCAAGGAGAAGGAATAGCAAGCGTAAAGCCCTTGAGGCTCTGGAATGCAGGGAAAGAGAGGAGGGCAAAATCTTTAAAGAGGAAGGCTGGTCAGATCGTGTGAGGCCTTGGGGGAAAGGGAGAGAGTTTGGATTCCCTTATTGATTCAGTGGGAAGCCACTGAAAGCTGTCATGAGGGGAATATATGATTTGATTTATGCCTGTTTGAGCTCTCAGCCTCCTGTGTAGAAAGCAAACTTCAGAGTATCCAGAGTAGAGGAAGAGAAACATGCTGAGATGTTATTGCAGTGGTTCACGGAAGATACAACAATAGTTTGGATAGGGTTGCATGAAGAATGTTAGAGAGAGGAATCAGATGTGATTTGCAAGTGTTTGGCTTGAGCAACTGGAGGGAAGATGATGCAATTTACTGACTTGGAGAACGTTGAGAAAGAAGATTACAGAGACAAGCTCAGTTGGTCTTTTTGGTCATATTAAAGTTTAAGATGCCCCTTAGACATCCCAGTGGCAAAATTGAATAAACAATTGGACAGGAGGGGCTGTGGTTCAGTGGGGAGGAAGGATAAATATGTGATAGTCTTCAACATGCAGGTGGCATTTGAAATGGAAATCCTGGATTACTCAGGTAGACAGCGTAGCTAGAGGAGGAACAGCAAAGAGTAGGTGCATAGGGAGCTTCATCGGTAGGAGGTCTGGCGGAGAAAGAAAAGCCAGCAAAGGGAGGAGCAAGCCAGAAGAAAAACTAGACATTGAAGCCACTGAAAAAACATTTAAACACAGAAAAAGGAGGAGTGATGAGCTGTGTCAGTTGCATCATGATGTCAAGTAAGATTAGGACACAGAAGGGAGAGTTTGCTTCATTTAGATCTTTGTGATTTTTGTGTGTAGGTCTTTGTGATCTTAAATTAGTGCTATTTCAATGGTCTAGTGGAGACAAAATGCTGATTGAGGTGATCCAGGGAAAGAAGAGTATGGGGAAGTTGAGACAGCAAGTATGAGCAACTTTTTCAAGAGATTTGCTGTGAATAATGACATGGATTTATAGGTGAATTGGTTGACGTAACTTGTCCAGGTGTGCACAGAGAGCAAGTCTTCGGATCTTTACTTGGAAGCACAAATGTTCTGACAAGCGCTTAACCAAATATACTGTTTTGATTTGTATCTAAAGAACACTTTCTAGAAGTATTTACTTAACTGTTTCTTTGATTTTTAGAAAACAATATTACTATAGTCATTGAGACAGTTGCCTGATGTTGAGATGCTGCCAATTCCTAGATAAGAAGTCTGGAAATACTAGATAGCTGGGAGGGGCCCAAAGAATGCCAGAGTGTGGCCAAGATTGTATCACTGAAAAGGTCCATGTCTGTCACAGGAAGAATTATCTGTATATTGTACACTCTTGGCATCCAATTTCCAAAAGAGAAATAATTCCCACTTCCCAACTGCATGCAATACTTTATTGTAGAAAGAGTAGAGCTAAAAATGGTTTCATCATACTTAGTATGAAAGCTTATGTATGACACACCAAGAAAATGATTGCTCTTCAGTTTGTATTTAAGGTCTGCCCGTTATACGTGACACGGGAACTGAACATCACATGAAGTGGGACTGACTCAGAATAATAAAATATATTGGCATATATTGATGTAAAACTTAAAAGGAGACTTTAAGACTGCATGTGGCTTTACTAATAACAAGAATTGAAAGGAGGAAAGGAAGGAGGGAGGGAACAAAGGAAATTAACCAACAATTATTGATCAGTCATGTGCCCCAGTACTATGCTAAGTGCTTAAAAATGCATTATCCTTTTCAGTCCTCACAAAAGACCTTTTAAAGTTACTATGTACATTTTTCAAGATGGTAAAATTGAGGCTCAGGGAGGTTAATTCTCTAAAACAACATAGGTGAATTAAAGAGCCAATGCACGGTCTAACTAAATTCTAGTTCCAGCAATTAAATATAATACCGTCATACACTAGCAAAAACTTTGTCAATCATCTATGACACATTATGTTATTTCTTGTTCAAGTTTATTTTGAAAAAGAAAAGTAGTGGCTGGAATTCTTAGAATGCTATTCAACAATGTTCCATTCAACCTTAGTTGTAATTGCTTGTCACATGCCGTTCGTGGGAACATGTCACATAAGGGAAGAAATTCTTGCACCCCTGGCTCAAAATGGGCTTGTAATTCATTCACAAAATCTTTCTGGAATACAGAAATAGAGACTGAGTACAGTTTTGCTAATAGAAGAGACACATTTAAGTGGTCTCTTGTATAGATTTTTTTAAAAATTAATTAAAAAATGTCTCCTGTGTACTCCTGGAATACTGGAAATCTTCAGCGCAGAGCCCAGCACCTAATGGGGAGTGGGGATGGAAGGAAGGGTCTCCATAAATGTTCATGGAAATAAAGTGATCTCTGATTACGCATGTGTAGACACTTTGGATTATTTAAAGGAAATAATAAGTCAGGCCACCTTAAGAGATGGGAGGCTAAGAATTTACATAAACAGACCAGACAGAAACAAAGAGCTGTCAGAGAGACCCAGACAGCTCTGAGGACTAGCTTCTTAATCCTCCCCTCTGAGTTTTGGGGTTTTTGTCTTGAAGGCTCCCTGTGCTGTGTTGTTTTCCCTTCTCTGTTAGACAATCCTCTTTGTAACCTTCAGGCTGCTTATAAAGGAAGACTACCTGATAGGCTCACCTATTCATTGTTGTCTCTTCTGGGGAAGAGATCTTGATTTCAAGCCACTTCTTGCTCCAAATTTGAGTTAGGTGTCTTCCACAATCCAATAAGTAAGTGGTCAATGGTGCTCAGAGAACAGCGGAGCACTGCTTTCCTGAAATTATCGAGAAACAACTTTAGCTGGAAGCGAGCCTAACAAGGTGATTATGACCAATTGTGGAGACTAAGGCAACTCCACCTTGGATGCTAATCTGCCATGTTGGCTTCTGATCAACTCCTGTTCCTGGAGGGCCTCTAACATTTCCAGTTTATCCATTGCTTCTCGTGTAAGCAGAGGTATTTACTGTAAATCCCACCCTTAGGTCAAACAACCTTAATGTTATCATACTTCAGATGTCCTACACATCCCTTTGGACTTATCCTTTCCCTACGGTATATAAGCCCTGGGTTGGTGGGGTAATGGCATGAGGTTCCACCACCTTGTCCCACCACCTCCTGAGATACAGACCAGATACAGTTTCTGATTATAAGTTCCTATTAACCGTTTCTTTCTAAGAAATTGATCTATCAGCTCCTTCTTTGGCCTCTCAGCTTCCTCGAATTTTAGGGTTGGTTTGCATAGACCTGCCCACCATGGAACACCACAGCATTAGTTTCTATGATCTCTAACCTAATGATCTGATTCAATTTGCATCAACAGAAAGGAGTTTGCCTAATTCTCTGACCAAAGCCTTTTTAATACAAGTCTAACTCATTTTTTCCAGTCTTTGAAGAACAATGGGAAATTATATGAAGCGTTGTTTCAGAATTCTTTAAAAAAAACATAATATCTGAATTCCAGATGTGCCAGAGTATTAGATACTGAATTAAAAAGTTTGAAAGTGAATTTTTTCTCCTTGTAGCATTGATGAGTTGACACAAAACCCAATTCATGCTTACTTTATACAAAAAGTACTTTTGTCACCTAACAAAACTGTCACAGCTTTATTTTACTAAAGATAAAAGAAATTTGATGCACTGATAACAATAAGTCATGTTCTGACATGTATAGAAATAGCTTTGCAGCCAGGCTCTGTGGTTCACACCTGTAACCCCGGCACTTTGGGAGACCAAGGCAAGTGACTCACCTGAGGTCAGGAGTTTGAGACCAGCTTGGCCAACATGTTGAAGCCCCGTCTCTACTAAAAATACAAAAATTAGCTGGGTGTGGTGGCAGGCACCTGTAATCTCAGCTACTTGGGAGGCAGAGATAGGAGAATTGCTTGAACCTGGGAGGTGGAGGTTGCAGTGAGCCAAGATGGCGCCATTGCACTCCAGCCTGGGCGACAAGAGCGAAACGAAACTCCTCTCAAAAAAAAAAAAAAAAAAAGAAATAACTTTGCTCTCACTGTAAAAGAACAAGTCTTATAACTATAACTTTATATGGATAACAAATATACCGGTGAAACACAGGACATGAACAAGACACACATCGCTTCCTGAAAAATGAGGCTTGTAACAACATACATTTGAAGAAATCAGGGACATGAGTGAAGCTTGATAAATGTTTATTATTTCTAACTTGGCACCTCCACAAATATTCTGTAAAAGTTTTCACCAATCGTGAAAGATTTACATATAATATAAACACATGGTGCATTAAAATGTGCTCTTTTTCTTTTAAAATTTATATTGAATCTGTCACAGTAATTAAAACATGCCATATATATTTTATGAAATTTTTTAACAGGAAGCAACAATAAAATAAAGTGTAGGTTCGATTAAGACACATTAGGAATTAGTGAAGAATAAAGTTTCCCTTTGTCATGTAACACAAATTTTTGTGTGAAAAGATATTTTGAATGGTGTTAAGGGTTGAATTGTGTCTCTCCCCCTCAAGATAATATAATGTTAGAGTCCTACTCATTGCCGATGGAATTAGTTAAGATAAGCTCATCTTAACTAATGGAATTGGGTGGGCATTCCATGGTATAATCCAATATGACTGCTGTCTATGAAAAGAGGAAATTTGGACATAGATACACAGGGAGCATGCCCTGTGGAAACTGGTGGTATGCTGCCACAAATCAAGTAACTGCCAGAAACTAGAAGACAGGTCTGGAACAGAGCCTTCTCTAGCACTTTCACAGGCCTGGCCAACACCTTCATCTTGGTCCCAGGGTCCAGAGTTGCAAGACAATAAACTATTGTTTAAGCCACTCAGTTTATGGTACATGGTTACAGACACTCTAGCAAACTAATACATGGTCAACCACAGTTGGTAAGTGGATAAACGAATCCCTTCTTACTTAGTGAATCCATAATAAAGTTAAGCTTATATGCTGAGGAGGAGCAGAGTTAGACAATACCCCAAGTGTCTATTAGAATGAATTAGTGTATATAAGAGCTGAAAATCTGCCTGCCTTTGAAAAAGATACAGGAACACTGACCTTATTGAGATTCGAGTCTGTAAAAATGCATAAACTGGGGTGACACGTGATTGAAACCAGATTGCACCATGAAAGGAAAGCACCAACAGGGAAGATGGTGCCTGGACCCCAAGCTGTCCTCGGTGTGAAGGCCAAATGGGGCCTGTGCTATGGGAGCACTCTAGAGACAATGACGTGTATGTGTGTGCGTGTGTGTGTGAAAGAATTGTGCCTGCCAACATTTAGGAACACAGACAGTTCTAAGCCAATACATTATAATGTACAGAGAGACAGGAAGGGATTCTACTCATCTCATTTTCTTTTTTTTTTATTTTTAATTCCTTGTGTTTAAAAAAAATTTTTTTTATTTCTGTAGGTTTTTAGGAAACAGTTGGTATTTAGTTACATGAGTAAGTTCTTTAGTGGTGATTTGTGAGATTTTTGTGCACCCATCACCAGAATAGTATACACTGAACCTGATTTGTAGTCTTTTATTCCTCATCCCCTTCCCACCCTTTGCCCCTGAGTCCCTAAAGTCTATTGTGTCATTTTTATGCCTTTGCATTCTTATAGCTTAGCTCCCACTTATGAGTGAAAACCATATGTTTGGTTTTCTATTCCTGAGATACTTCACTCAGAATAATAATCTCCTTTCCCATCCAGGTTGCTGCAAATGCCATTAATTCATTCCTTTGTGTGAATGAGTAGTATTTTATCATTATATATATATGTAAAGAAAGAAACCGAGGTGTTTATATACACATATATAAACACACACACACACACACACACACCCCTCAGTTTCTTTATCCACTTTATCCACTCACTGATTGATGGACATGTGGGTTGGTTCCACATTTTGGCAATTGTGAATTGTGCTCATCCCTGTTTCAAGAGCATCACAACTTGTGTGAGTTGAAGGAGGTAGGCACTAAGGCCATGAGACTACAAGGCTCAGCTAGAAGCCCTGGCAATGGTGACAGTGCTAGCAGAGATGTGAGTGGATCCCCAGTCCCATGACAATGGCAGATCTCCCTTTCTCTCACTGGTAGCAGGAGTGATGGGAGGAGAGAGAATCAGAGACCTTTCAGGGGACCATCACCTGTGGAACTTGCCCACAAGGAATGTCTGTGACTTTCTACTTCATCAGCAGGCAATAATAGTGAATTATGTCCAATGAATGTTTCTTGAATAGATGTATATACCTCTCAGATCTGAAGAAATCTCTGGAGAGAAAGAATCTTTTGCAGATCAGACTTCCTTGTGAGTCTAACAGGTAGGATTGGAGCATCAAAAATGCAAAACTCAATGTAAATGTTTTCTGATTTGTATGCAAATTTAGATATAGCAATCTCACTAGTGTACATATAAAGTCAATTTCTTGTCTTCTATACAAATATAAAATTAATGATTTCAAGGACAATGGCAGAAAACATACATTATGTTCTCGTGGCTATAGCCACCATTTTGTAGTTACTCAGAGAATTTACCTGAGAGGTAGGTAAATGAAAACTAAGCAAGACATTGAATTGCTTGCTACTGGCACAGTAGAAAAGGCTATGAAAATGCTTGGGAGTATCCCAAGAAAAGTGGTTTTTGAACTCTACAAGATCAGCTGAAGAAACAAATGGTGGAGCCTATCAGCCCCTGACAGCACTGTCTACCAAGGAAGGCATCAGATGCTTGGGTCTTCACAAACCCATTCTAAAGACTTGCATTCCACAGTGACCATTACCTGCTAAATGACTTCCATTCTGGGGTGGGTGTTCCTTGAGCTATACCCAGAAGAATCAGGTACTCCTCTAGGCTTGCAGCATGACCAAAGTTTGTTCTAAAGTAAAAAAAAAAAAAAAATACTCAATGTGGTTGTTAGAGGCAGCCATATATTCACTTATTTGGTTATACATTTCCAGAAGCCTGGAAAAAACCCCAGTTGCCACATCATGAAGTGAATTTCTGCATGGTTGATTCGATGAACTTTTAATAACCTCAGATAGCATTTGCTGGTGTTAAGAATTTTACCTAAATTATCTTTTTAAATCCCCAAAACAACCCTTAAGAAATAGGTACCTTTATTATTTCCATTGAATGGATGAGGAAACTAGAGCCCAGGAAAGTGATAGCTAAGCCAGTGTTTAATCGTCAGCGGTCTGGCTGACGTCACATCTTACTGTACCTGAGTCAGCCAGAAAGAGGCTGATGTGATCCTTAAGTAAGACTGTTGTTTGATTGGAAAATATATCTTATTTTGAGTATATTTATAAGAGTAACCATTTACTGAGCACTTACTATGAGCCAGACTACACTGGTGCTCTTTCCATTTACTTCTCACACTGTCTCTCTGAAATGTATCACTCTCCTCATTTTATACATGAAGGAGCAGGTCTGAGTCACTGAGTCATTAACTAACACATTCAAGGTCACACAGTTAAAATACAGGCCTCTCAATCGGACCCTAAACACTACATTTCTCACTCTAACTTCCTTCTTTTACTCATAAAATTCTCATTTAATCAGTTTCCGATATTTTACCTATTATCCCTGATTAATAATAATGCTGCATATGAAATATTTTTCCTCGAATATGATATTTGTCTTTCCATATTACATTAGACTAAGATAAGCTGAGAAATTGCTCTCAGTTCATTTCACCACAGTGGTCAGTAAGTAAAACAAGTTAAAATGCCAATCTGAAATAGATTAATCATCGCCCTTTCATAAAACAGAAATTAAAGCAAAAGTGAGATGAAAGGGGAGAGGGAATCCTGGCAATATGGAGTTTGTATCCAATACCACCTTGCCCAGGAGCAGTGGAATAGTTCTACAGGTTCCATTGGGGGAAAGCAAGTGTGGCTTACTTGATTAATACAAATTTTCAAAATATAATCTGTAATGTATTTGGGAAGGCAACGCAATAGGAAGCAATTGGATTTTATTTTCTGATTACATAAAAGCTTTCTAGACTTTGAAATAAGTGGAGAACATACTAGATATTTATCCATCTACAATTCACTCGTTCCTGTACTGAGCAATATTTCACAGAATGATCAAGAAAGGCATGCATTCTTGGGGCATTATTCAAGAGGTCAGCATAGAGAATATTCCATACCTAGGGAAAAGAGAGGAAAGATGACACACGAAGTCACTCATAGCTGTTTACAGGCAGGAGCCTGGTTTGAGTTAGACTGATAACTGAAGGCCCTTCGTTTTTAGTCACTTTTGGAGCCTTACTAATCATAGTTGGGATTTTTTGAGTGCTTTCAAAGCATTATAGCTTGTCTCTTACCTGGATTAGCTCCCAAGAATCTTATGTGTTAGCTAGTATTATAATCCTCATTTTACAGATGAGAAAAAAAGACATTAAATAACTGGTCCCAGTTCATACAGCTAAGAGACAAAAAGCCAGGCATTACACCTAGACAATCTAATTCCAGAACCCACTGTGGTCAACCACAACATTTGTCACCCTTAAATCCAGGTCATCTCGATGCCACATCTTATTTAAGGTCTTATACATCTTTTTAAGTTAGCTTTGTATATGTCAGTTTGTTTTGTGCAGAATGTGACTGCTTTCAACTGGCAGAGAACAAATGAATAATAAAACAGTTGATAATAAGTAAATTCCTTTATATGGCTTTATATGACTCTCTCCAGTCTCCCCATGCACGTTTGACTTTTTCAAAATTTGTGATAAAATACATTCAACATACAATTTACCATTTTAACCATTTCTAAACTTACAGTTTGGTGGTATTAAGTACATTCACATTGTTGTACAACCATCACCAACATCCATCTCCAACTTCTCATTACTCTTGAATTTAAAACACATTTATCCATTCATTCAGCAGTGCTATTGAAGTCCAGTTAAACCTCTGCTCTGAGCCAGGTGCTGAGCGAAGTATGGCCCAATTCACTTTCTCAGATTCCCCTTACAGGGCTGGCTGGCCCCACCTGATGAGCCTTATTCTTTATAGTTTGGCCACCAAAACCAGTACTTAATTGAAAGGGTGGGAATGGGGAGAAGGTTTGATACAGTTAAAGAACAGGCCGTAGGCCATTAAGCGTCATCCTTCATGTGGTGCTGTAGAGAGGATGTGAACACTAAAGCTTGGGCTTGCATCTCCTTTTTGCCTCATATGCTGTGGGATTTGGGCATATTTCCTATCCTCTTTGAGCCCCCAAGTCTCCATTTGTAAAATGGGAATAATGTCAGCCTGGTGCAGTGGCTCACGCCTATAATCCCAGCACTTTGGGAGGCCAAGGCAAGCAGATCAACTGAAGTCAGGAGTCCGAGATCAGCCTGGCCAACATGGCGAAACCCTGTCTCTACTACAAATACAAAAAAATTAGCTGGGCATGGTGGCGTGTGCCTATAATCCCAACTACTTGGGAGGCTGAGGCAGGAGAATTGCTTGAACCCAGGAGGCTGAGGTTGCAGTGAACTGAGACTGTGCCATTGCACTCTAGCCTGGGCAACAAGAGGTAACTCTATCTCAAAAAAAAAAAAAAAAAGAAGGAATAATGTTTATTTTGTTGAGAATACGACAGATAATACGAAAATGATTGCAGTGAGGTCTGTGGTCTGGGGTAGGTTCTCAGCCCTGTTCACTGGCTGCTTGGAAATAGACTCGGTGCTGCTGGGGGTGCATGGTGGGGGTGAGACTGACCTTTAGAACTGCGGTCTGTGTGGGAGTGGGGTGAGGCCTGTGACTGACAGCTTTCCCCCACTTCCCTGGTGAACTGCATGACTCAGCAGCGGCAGCCATAATCCCTCTGGGAATATAACTCCATTGGCCTGGGAACCACATCCCCATCCCCCATAGCAGCCACAGCAAGTCCCGCCCAAGAAAAGTCTAAGCTCAAACATGCCTATCCCTGCCCCAACCTGGTGGTCTTTCTCTCCCCACCCTGTTAACTGAAGACAAAGGTCATAATCTCTTGGGAGCTCTATGGCCCTGCATATTGCCTAAGAAGCCTAAATACTTAACCACATGTCCCCAGGGCAAGTTTGCATCATCCCTATAGGATTGCAGCTGATGCACTCTTGAAAGTGCCACCACCTCTTAGCTGGAGGCCAACCAACACAAAACCAGTGCACTAAACAAAAATACAACCAGGGACCCTGGCAGAGTCCGCTGCACTCCCCTACTACCTCCACTGGAACTGGTGCTGCTATCCATGGCTACAAGACCTGAAGACAGATCACATCACAAGACTCTTTGCAGACACTCCCCAGTGCCAGCCCAGAACAGGTAGCTCTGCTGGGTGGCTAGTCCCAGAAGAGCAAAAACAATCACTGCAGTTCAGTTCTCAAGAAGTCCCATTCCTAGGGGAACAGGGAGAACACCACATCAAGGAAGCACCCCATGGGACAAAAGAATCTGAACAGCAGGCCTTGAATCCCAGATCTTCCCTCTGATATAGTCTACCCAAATGAGAAGGAACCAGAAAAATAATTCCGGTAATAGAACAAAAGAACAAAATGAGGACCTTTAACACCCCCAAAATATCATAGCAGACCACTAGCAATGGATCCAAATCGAGACAAAATCTCCAAATTGCCAGAAAGATAATTCAGAAGGTTTATTATTAAGTTAATCAAGAAGGCACCAGAGAAAGGTGAAGTCCAACTTAAAGAAATAAAAAACATGATACAGGATATGAAGGGAAAATTCTTCAGTGAAATAGATAGCATAATTAAAAAACAATCACAACTTCTGGAAATCAAGGACACACTTAGAGAAATGCAACATGTACTCAAAAGTCTCAGCAATAGAATCGAACAAGCAGAAGAAAGAACTTCAGAGCTTGAAGACAAGGCTTTCTAATAAATCCAGTCCATCAAAGACAAAGAAAAAAAAAATTTAATGAACAAAGCCTCCTAGAAGTTTGAGACTATGTTAAACATCCAAACCTAAGAATAACTGGTGTTCCCCAGGAAAAAGAGAAAGTTAAAAGTTTGGAAAACATATTTGAGGGAAAAATTAAGGAAAACTTTCCCAGCCTTCCTAGAGATCTAGACATCCAAATACAAGAAGCTCAAAGAACACCTGGGAAATGTATCACAAAAAGGTAATCACCTAGACTCATAACCGTCAAGTTACCTAAAGTCAAGACAAAGGAACGAATCTTAAGAGCTGTGAGGTAAAAGCATCAGGTAACCTATAAAGGAAAACCTTTCACATTAACAGCAGATCTCTCGGCAGAAACCCTACAAACTAGAAGAGATTGGGTGCTACCTTTAGCCTCCTTAAACAAAACAATTATCAGTCAAGAATTTTGTATCCAGTGAAACTAATCTTCATAAACGAAGGAAAGATAGTCTTTTCCAGACAAACAAATGCTGAGAGAATGTGCCACTACCAAGCCAGCACTACAAGAACTGCTAAAAGAAGCTCTAAGCTGTGACACAAATCCTTAAAAATACACAAAAATAGAATCTCCTTAAAGCATAAATCACACGAGACTTATATATCAATAACACAATGAAAAAAAAAAAACCAATGAGGGCAAGAAATAGCATGATGAATAGAATAGTACCTCATAACTCAATACTAACATTGAATGTAAATGTTCTAAATGCTCCACTTAAAAGATAGGGAATGGCAGAATGGATGAGAATTCACCAACCAAGTTTCTCCTGTCTTCAGGAGACTCACCTAACACATAATAAGCTGTATAAACTTTAGGTAAAGTGGTGGAAAAAGATATTCCATGTAAATGAATACCAAAAGCTAGCAGAAGTAGCTATTCTTATATCAGATAAAACAAACTTTAAAGCAACAGCAGATAAAAAAGACAAAGAGGGGCATCATTTGATGATAAAAGGACCAGTCCAACAGGAAAATATCACAATTCCAAATGTATATGCACCTAACACTGGAGCTCCAAAATTCATAAAGTAATTACTACTGGACCTAAGGAATGAGTTAAACAGCAACACAATAATAGCGGGGGACTCCACTGACAGTGCTAGATAGGTCATCAAGATAGAAAGTCAACAAAGAAACAATGGACTTAAACTATATCCTATACAAAATGGACTTAACAGATACTTAAAGAACATTCTACCCAGCAACTGCAGAATATACATTATATCCATCAGCACAGGGAACACTCCTCAAGATAGACCATATGATAGGCCACAGCACAAGTCTCAGTAAATTTAAGAAAATTGAAATTCTATCAAGTACTCTCTCAGACCACAATGGAATAACAATGGAAATCAACTCCGAAAAGAACCATCAAAACCACACAAATACATGGAAATTAAATAACCTGCTCCTGAATGATCGTTCAGTCAACAATGAAATCAAGAAACTAAAAAATTCTTTGAACTGAATGATAATAGTGACACAGCCTATCAAAATCTCTGGGATGCAGCCAAAGCAGTGCTAAGAGGAAAGTTCATAGCATTAAATACCCACATCAAAAAGTCTGAAAGAGCACAAATAAACAATCTAAGGTCACATCTCATGGAACTGGAGAAACAATCCAAATCCAAACCCAGCAGAGAAAAGAAATAACCAAGATCAGAGCAGAACAAAATGAAATTGAAACAAACAAAAAAATTTTTAAAAAACCACAAAAGATAAATGAAACAGAAAACCGGTTCCATGAAAAGATAAATAAAATTGATAGATCATTAGTGAGATTAACTAAGAAAAGAAGAGAATAGATCCAAATAAGCTCAATTATAAACAAAATGGCAGATATTACAACTGATACCAAAGAAATACAAAAGATTATTATTCAAGGCTGCTATGAACAACTTTACATGCATAAACTAGAAAATCTAGAGGAGATGGATAAATTCCTGGAAATATACAACCCTCCTAGATTAAATCAGGAAGAAATGCAAACTCTGATCTGACCAATAACAAGCAGCAAGATTGGAGTGGTAATAAAAAAATTGCCAACAAAAAAAATTCCAGGACCAGATAGATTTACAGCTGAATTCTATCAGACATTCAAAGAAGAATTGGTACCAATCCTATTGACACTATTCCAAAAGATATAGAAAGAGGGAATCCTTAAATCACTCTGTGAAGCCAGTATCATCCTAATACCAAAACCAGGAAAGGACATAACAAAAAAACGAAACTACAGACCAATATCACTGATGAACATAGATGCAAAACTCCTCCACAGAATACTAATGAACCAAATCTAACAGCATATCAAAAAGATAATCCACCATAATCTGGGTTTCATACCAGAGATGCAGGGATGGCTTAACATACATAAGTCAATAAATTTGATACACCACATAAACAGAATTTAAAACAAAAATCATATGATCATATCAATAGACACAGAAAAAGCATTTGACAAAACCCAGCATTGCTTTATTATTAAAACCCTCAGGAAAATCAGCATAGACGGGACATACCTTTAGGTAATAAAAGCCGTCTATGATACACCCACAGCCAATATTACGCTGAATGAGGAAACGCTGAAAGCTTTCCCCCTAAGAACTGGAACAAGACAAGGATGCCCACTTTCATCACTTCTATTAAACTTAGTACTGGAAGTCCTCACCAGAACAATCAGACAAGAGAAAGAAATAAAGGGCATTCTAACTGGTAAAGGGGAAGTCAAACTGTCATTGTTTGCTAATGATATGATCGTATACCTAAAAAACCCTAAAGACACCTCCAAAAAGCTCCTAGAACTGACAAAGGGATTCAGAATGCAAGATTAATGAACATAAATCAGTAGCTCTGCTATACACCATCAGCGACCAAGCTGAGAATCAGATTGTGATCTCAACCCCTTTCACAATGGCTGCAAAGCAAACAAATAAAAAAGCAAAAAAAAAAAAAAAAAAAAAACTTAGGAATGTACATAACCAAGGACATGAAAGACCTCTACAAGGAAAACTGCAAAACACTGCTGAAAGAAATCCTAGATGACACAAACAAATGGAAATACATCCCATGCTCATAGAAGGGTAGAATCAATAGTGTGAAAATGACCATACTGCCAAAAGCAATCTACAAATTCAATGCAATTCCCATCAAAATACCACCATCACTCTTCACAAAACTAGAAAAAAAAAAAAAAAAAAGGATCTAGAATGCATATGGAACTAAAAAAGAGTCCACATAGCCAAAGCAAGACTAAGCAAAAAGAGTAAATCTGGAGACATCACATTACCTGACTTCAGACTATGCTATAAGGCCATAATCACCAAAATAGCTTGGTACTGATATAAAAATAGGCCCATAGACCAATGGAACTGACTAGAGAACCTAGAAATAAAGCCAAATGCTTACAGCCAACTGATCTTTGACAAAGTGAACAAAAACATAAAGTGGGGAAAGGACATCCTATTCAACAAATGGTGCAGGGATAATTGGCAAGCCACACGTAAATGAATGAAATGGGAACCTCATCTCTCACCCTATACAAAAATGAACTGAAGATGGATCAAATACTTAATCTAATACCTGAAATCATAAAGATTCTAGAAGATAACATGAAAAACCCTGGTAGACATTGGCTTAGGCAAAGACTTCATGATCAGGAACCCAAAAGCAAATGCAACAAAAACAAAGACAAATAGGTAGGACTCAGTTAAACTAAAAATCTTCTGCACAGCAAAAGAAATAATCAGCAGAGTTAACAGACAACCCACAGAGTGGGAGAAAACCTTCACAATCTATACATCTGACAAAGGACTAATATCCAGAATCTACAAAAAGCTCAAACAAATCAGCAAAAAAAGCAAATAATCCCATCAAAAAGTGGGCTAAGGACATGAATAGACAATTCTCAAAAGAGAAATTACAAATGACTAGTAAGCATATGGAAAAATGCTCAACATCACTAATTATCAGGGAATACAAATCCAAACCACAATGTAATACTACCTCACTCCTGCAAGAATGACCATAAACAAAAGATAAAAAAAAAAAAAAAAAAGATGTTGGCATGGATGCAGCGGTGAGGGATAAAATACTGAACATTGGGTACAGTGTACACTGCTCAGGTGATGGATGCACCAAAATCTCAGAAATCACCACTAAAGAATTTATTCATGTAACCAAACACCACCTGTTCCCCAAAAATCTATTGAAATAAAAAATAAAAAATTAAAAAAAAAAAGTAATGATGCTACCTTTTGTTAAACATGGAAGCACTATAGATTACTTACAGTATTAGAGGCGGAGGTCAGGGGCATATAGATTACTTATATTAGAGGCAGAGGTCAGGGGCGGAGAGGAGATGGAGACAGGAGAGAAACACAAGTTGAACTTCTAGATTTTACCAAGCGGACTAAAGAAATCTCACTGAGTCTTTGGCAGCAGCATATTGCTAAGTGTAACGTGGGTCCTAATTTTGAAATATTTTCTGATGGCCCTTCTCCTATTGTAAAACCAATTTTCTTTCTGTGCATTTTGTCTGCTATTATGACTCTGGGGAAGACACCAGGTGAATGCTGCTTTCAGAAAGAAACAGGGTACAAGAGAATCTGCCGCCACACAGGGAAGAATTACAGAAGGACAAACCAACCTTTTCTGACCCTGTGTGAAGAAGGGGAGAGAAGAATTAAGCAAGGATGTCAGGTACTAGTGTTATTCTTTGCCCTCATTCTTTAAGGGTCCAATCTGGGTGATAAGGAAAAGCAAGGAAACTGGTTCTTCATCAGAAGATAGATTGCCTCTGTGTGATTCTTCCTGTATGACAGAGGCTTCCCTTTTACTGTTTCTTTCTGGAAACAAGATTCACCTGGACCCTTCCCCAGGGTCATAAATGAAGAGCTCTAGACTTTGCAACTAGAGGCAGTGGTGGGGATAAGCCTTCTGCTATTAGTACCTCCAAAAACCAGATGGAACAGACCAAACGCCAGCAGACACAGATGGAGCCAGGGCCAGCCTAGGCCACCCCACAACAGAGGCCAGCAAGGATCTGGGGGCATTATACAGATCCTGGGCCCTCTCCTCTGTCACCCAGACACCATCTGTGTGGGCTGGTATGAGTGGAGAATAAAAACCCGAAAAAAGACTGCTGAAACCTGAACAAACTGAGATGTCCTTTACTGACAAGTTTTAATTGCCAGCCGCCCTGCCGCCACTGAGTGGGGATTGGAGACGAGGGTGGTCCCAAGGAAGATGAGATGAGCTGTAGCAAATAAAGCACAACAATCCAGCCTGGGTAACATGGTGAGACCCTGCCTCTACTAAAAATACAAAAAAATAGCCAGGTGTAGTGGTGCACACCTGTGGTCCCAACTACTGGGGAGGCTGAGGCAGGAAGATCACTTGAGCCCTGGAGGAAGAGGGTGCAGTGAGCTGAGATCGTACCATCATGCTATTGTAGTCCAGCCTGGGCCACAGAGTAAGATCCTATCTCAAAGAGAAAAAAAAAAGCAACAATCCTGGGTGTCACTCTCAATATATACCCAGGATCAGAGAGGTTGAGAAGAGCTGGGATTCAAAACAAATAATCAAACTCAGTACAATTCTTTAGGAAAACAGATGAGAAAGTAAGTTGTTTTGGTTACTTGATCTACAAAGTGACCAAAACAATTCAGTGGGGAAAGGATAGTCTTTTCTACAAATGGTGCTAGGAAAGTTGGATCCTCAGGCCAAAAAACTGAACTTAAATCCTTACCTCATACCATATAAAAAGTTAACTCAAATTGGCTCTTAGACCTATGATTTGGTAGAAAATACAGAATAAAATTTTTGTAAGCTTGAGTTAGCTAAAGATCTAAGGTGAGTTTAGGAAATTTTCTATCTAAAGCAACGAGTTTTTATTCCCTGACGTGTAGAACCTGATATGTGTTCCATTTCATTTTCCAGAATAATTCATTAGCCAAAGACTCCATGGTCAAGGCACAGAGCTAAATCCAGAAAGGCATAATAGTAAGAGATTTATTTTCATTTATTCACTCTTTCCTGTCTGTAATAGTTGTATAATTCATCTTTTTTGTTTGTTTGTGTGTTTCTTTAGAGACAGGGTGTCACTCTGTCACCAAGACTGGAGTACAGTGGTGCAATCATAGCTTACTACAGACTTGAACGCTTGGGTTCATGTGATCCTGGTGCGCGAGACTCCCAAGTAGTTAGGACTACAGGTATGCAACACCACGGTCGAATAATTTTTACATTTTTTATAGAGACAAGGCCTCACTATGTTCCCTAGGCTGGTCTCAAACTGCCAGCCTAAAGCAATCATCCTGCCTCAGCCTCCCAAAGTACTGGGATTACCGGAGTGAGACACCATGCTCAGCTTAATTTCTCTTTTTAAAATTCAAATTATTATTTCACTTCTGGGTATCAATTGAGTTCCGTTTTTTAATAAAATGAACTTTTATTTATTTTATTCCCAAGGGGCTTATATTGATTCAGTGTGCAGACTCTTCCCCCTTTTCTACCTTGCTACTTTTAATGTAATCATTTCTCTTGCAGAATTAATCTTCATAGGATTGTCATGAAGATCACATGAATGCTCAGAAAGCACTTAAAACGGTACTTGGCATAATAAGTAAATGACCTCCAGAGTTTTTCCTTTTATGGAGACTTCTTCAATTATCAGTAAGCCAATTATGATGGCTCATTATTAATAAGGAATTATTATGAATTATAAAAGTAGACATTTGTTCCTCCATTATTGTATTACCCATTACTCAGTCCACAATAAAATAACCCAGAATAGAATTCTGAATTTTATTAGAGAATATATCTAAAATACAATATTTATTAAGTTATGATACATTGTCTGAATTGAAATATACTCTGTATCACAACTCTAATTATAACAATTTTTACACATAATACTTCATTTACATCTCCGTAATTCAAAAGTCACTAAATTACAACGTAATTCATATTTAAGATAACTTTACTATAAATATATAATAATTTTTAAAGTTTTTCTTTAATATAATATCTTGGAATCATGAACATTTATTTTTTCTGGTGTACATTACATAGAATCATGACTATTTTACCTGATTTGCCTTAACTAGCTCAATTTATCACGTGCTATGGATTTGCACTCAATCATTCTACTTTCCTATGTTTTAAAAGCAGCATTTTAGTGAACAATTGAGTGCTCATCACCCTACATGCTGTGAACAAAGTCAAGGTACTTTATTCTTATTTCTTATCCTATATTCTGTGTTACAGAAAAACTACTACCATAAACAAAGCACCAACCAGCCACAGCAGTTGTGTCAAGCATGACAATTGATCTAGTCTTCACATTTTATTAGTAAGCCTATCAAGTAAGAGACGAAGCGTCTAGAAAACCAGACACAAAGCAATCAGGGTCCAAATCACCAAGGTAGATCTGTGCTTAGCTAGAGGGAAACACCCGAAGATTCATTATTTGGATACAGGCTATGGGACCATCTTATTTGAAGGAAGCTTTGATTTGCCTGTTCTTCAGTGGCTGAGCCGGGCGCCAGTTGTCCACCATCAGTTCTTCAGGTTCACCCTCCCCATTGAAGTTAAGTTTACGGAATTTCGACATCTAAAAGACACAATAAAACATTCATAATTCACGTTTCACAATAGTATTCAGTTATATGCTTGTGTTGTGTCTTTAAATACATTCCCCTGCCAGGCACAATGGCTCATGCCTGTAATCCCAGCACTTTGGAAGGCTGAGGCAGGTGGATCACTTGAGGTCAGCAATTCAAGACCAGCCTGGCCAACATGGCAAAACCCTGTCTCTACTAAAAAAAAAAAAAAAAAAATTAGCCAGGTGTGGTGGCGTGCCTGTAATCTCAGCTACTCGGGAGGCTAAGGCACGAGAATCATTTAAACCCTGGAGGCAGAGATTGCAATGAGCTGAGATTGCGCCACTGCACTCCAGTCCAGGCGACAGAGCGAGGCTCTGTCTCAAAAAGCAGAAACAAAAACAAACGAAAATTACATTCCCCAACATTCACAGTGCTGTGCATCAAAGGCCAAAATTCAATTTGATTCCTAATAAATACATAATCACATATAGATTTTGTATGCATGCTTTAATATCACAAACCAATTTATACAAAATACACAAATTCATTGGGGCCATTTTTAAAGGAAATTTTCAGTGACCTTTTAATTTTAAAATCTAATCTCAAAAGTCTATAAACTCATACCTTTAGATGCAAAATAATAACAATTTTAGTTCCAAATTAAAGTTTGTTTTCTGCCCCAGGGAAGACAAACTATCACATCTGTACAATTAGATCAAGTGGTCAGGACCTGTAAGCTCTATGGGCTGAGCGACGAGCTGACATCTCCAAATACACAAAAACACAGAAATGAATTTGCCCAGGCTGATTTGCCTTAACTAGCTCAATTTTTCTCATGCTATGGAGTTGCACTCAACCATTCTACTTTCCTGTTTTAAAAATAGCATTTTAGTGAACAATTGTGAGTGCTCATCACCCTACATAGCCCTATTGGTATTTTGCCAATATATGCATTTAACATTAGAACCCCTTGTCACTGGTTGATTTTTACTCCCTTGTAAACTTGTTTCAGTTTACTGGCCTCCACTGAGATACAGGAAGCCATTAAACAGTCTCCCACTTCTTCAAGGTTCTTAAAAAGTACTACTTTCCTCCCTCTAACCAAGACTTGATCCAAATGAAAAAGGGTGGTTTGGGCAGGAATACAGCAGCCCAGGAATCAACAGCCTTTAACCTGATCTCTTTTGTCGGGTAATAGTCTCTCAATCACTCCCATAAAGCCACCTTCCATGCACATACATTATAACATGCACAGCTATGGTTACTGAATGCTAGGGAGCATTCTAAGGATATATAGGGTCGACTCATTGCAACAGAATTCCAGCAATCTGAAAGAGAGTCTGTTCATAAAGTGTAATCAGGTCAAACTTTTGATTAAACCAGTATAACCGATTTCTGTTCCTCACTGCACCAATTAAATTACACTCATCACATTAGTCAACTTGACTCATTATTTTAGCATCACAGAGACAGAGCCTGAGTATAGAAAATAAAGGTAGCAGAATTAGCAGATCCGTTTATACTGCTTACCTAAAATCCACACCCCCTACCGCCATACTTCCTCATTAACAGACATCTGTCCTCTCCCTGTAAGCCTCAGCGGGGTAATGAAGTTGTAGTGTAAGGAAAGGTTATAATGCCACTTTGTTTTGTAGATGGAGTGTTTACGTTATAATTTAAAACATGGAATTTTTTTTCTTCTTTCACTGTGAGCAATCCAACTTTAAAGCAATAGTCTGACATTTAGAGCCATTACAGCAAATGGATTTATGGTGTATGCACACCCACAGGCCGAAATGATCACATTCCCTGGCTAGGGACTAAGCAAGAAAACACAATTCTAGCCAGTGAGAAGTGAAAGGTTTGCTAGGGGCCTTCAGGGAAAAGCTTCTCTGCTCCTAGGGAGCCAATGGAAGAGGTATTCATTTCCTCCTCAAGAAGTGGTTGTATCCAGATGTGATGCTCAAAACGCTATTGCAACTGCCTTGAAGATGAAGTCCTCACCTGAAGATGGGCAAGGCCAAGTCAAGGGAATCAGACAGAGGAGGACCTGGAGCCCTAGCTTCCTGAGCTAAGCATGAGCCTCCCTCCAGACTCCATGTTATAGGACAAGAAAAATAGCCCTATTGGTATTTTGCCAATATATGCAATTAACATTATTAGTTTAATATCACTTTCAACTTTAAAGAGCAAACTCAGGGCACAAGGATTAATGCAGTAGGTTCAACTGCCCTTATCTATATGTGTATTTCGGCCTGTGGGTGTGTATACGCCATAAATCTATTTGTTATAATGGCTCTAAATGTCAGACTATTGCTTTAAAGTTGCATTGCTCTCAGTGAAAGAAGAAAAAAAATTCCATGTTTTAAATTACAACGTAAACACTGCATCTACATAGCAAAGTGGCATTATAATCTTTCCTTATACTATAACTTCAAGAAGCTTGCTCAAATATCTTATTACTACAAGGTCAATCTTCAAGTGACATACTACAAGACAAGCATGCTATTTTTTAGGCACACTTTGATATGCTACAAGTAATTTTCCAGTTAGATATATATTTCCTTTAAAGAAAGATGTGAAGCATCTTCAGCATTCATAAGTTCATATTCTAAAGGAGGACACAGGAATAGAATCCTTGCTCCCAGACCTGATTCTGTCCCAAGGTAGCTGAAGGGAAAACACTTCAATTTTCCTGTTTCTCAGACTGTTGTTGATCAAAGTGATTCAAGCCAGTGAAATGAGAAAGTTGGACAACATAATCTCTATCGCACATTGCAGCTCTAAACCTCTATTATTCAGCATTTTTGTAGCTTTAAATCACACTATCACTACTCACATAGTGACCATTTTCAAGATTGTTGGCTCCTAAAGCTCTCCTTAAATTATTCAGGATCCAACCTCTTGCGAATCCTAAGGAATGTTCACTTTCTACATTTCAACTGTGCGCTAAGAGACAAGTCTAGGAAAAATTCATTCGTATCCACTTTTGTGGCCACTCATCAGTGACTTAGAAGCTGCATTAATCACTTGAACATCACACAATACATTGTATTGGAAATGTAAGAATACCTGCTCTAAGCCTCTAAAGCAACCTGGAGTAAGTTTTAATAGATATGTGTTCTCCAAGGGATGACTCTCACCTGTCAGGATTCAGAAATGCATTCTGATATAAATAAAACCGCAGAAAGCTCTTATGTGAGTGAGTAGTAAGCTGGGAATTCACTGATATCTATGTAACCTTGAATATGAACTCTCACTTTTCTAAGCCTCAGTTTCCTCATAACTGGCAAAAAAAAAAAAGCATTTATTAATTTATTAGGTGACAGACACCTTTTTCATTGAATCTTTACAATGACTATTCAATTTTACAGGCTAAACAAACTGTGTAAGTTTATAGCTAATAACAACAAAGATTTACTGAATGCTGTTTATTTGCTGAGCACCGTCAAAGGCACTATTTCCACAGCAAGAAGTAGCAGAAGGATTAAATCTCAGGTCTCTCTCACTCTGGAGGCCAAGGTCTTCTGCCTTGACTAAATGCTCCACCTATAAACAGTTTTCATTAGAAAACCAACCTGCTCGCTGCTGACGCTGATGGGTTCCTTGAGCACAATCCAAGTCACACATTCCAGAAGAGGAGGGGTGGTCAGTGAGCCTGGGTAGGTCCAATAATCCAAGGATTCAGGAAGGAGACCACGAGGATCGAAGTTAGTGAAGTCAGCACTCTTGCCCTAGAACAAGGCAAATACGCAGGTTCAAACCGTCACATTGACACAGTAGGAGGAAGGTAGGAAAGCAGGAGACACAAATAGGTATACTCCTCTCTGATGGTCAAAAACACTTTTTAAAAGAGAGGTCCTATATTCACTGGCAAACAAAATAAAAAGAAATTAACAGAAGACATTCGACTTGAAAATATGTGGCAGGTCTTAGCAAAACAAAACAAAACAAAACAAAAACTATTTTCACATGTCCGTTTTTCATGTTGGCCATTTATCTAAAATCCTTACATTCTCCATTAAGTCATTAACTGATCACACCCAGTATTTAAAGTGAGACTGCTGCCACTAAAATGAGGTGACTTCAGATTGCAATACCAGAAACAGGGTATCCCTGATGAGGAGGTGATTTTTCTCGCTCTAGGTCAGAATCAAATAACTACATTCTGTTTTGGACACTACACTTTTCAAGCAAACAGGAATGATTTATTGGAGGAGTGACAAGGTGGTGGCAAAGAGAGAAAACGATGTCATATGAGAATAGTTAAAGGGAACTAAAGATAATTAGCTTGAGGTAGGTGAAAAAACAGAGTAGAGAGAGAGTAGGGTTATGTGGAAGAGAGATCAGGTTTATTCTATGAATTCAAGGGGCTCAAGCCAGGGGTGTAGAGTGAGCATTTCAGAGGATAGATGCTGCTTCAATGTGAGGATCAGCTTTATAAAGCCAGGGCTGTCCCTGGTGATAAGTTCCCCATTACGGGAAGTGACTGTAGTGTTTAAACAGATGCTCAACGACCTCAATACAACTATGCTGTAGAGAGGATTTAAATGCAGGATGAATGAATGCAAAGAGGTTATAGAATAGAAATCTCCATGAAACAGGGCCTTGTTTATCTTGTTCACCATTGTATCTACTTGTTTGCAAAGCGACTGGCACATAGTACATACTCAACAAATATCTGCTGTGTGAGTGAGTGAATAATTTGACTAGAGGACCTTTGAACCACCTTGCAGTCATAAGATTCTCTGACTCTTACATATGGATGTGCAAATGATGGGGGAGCAAGATTAAATAAACACAAGTCTTAGAATTATGCTAGCATTAGGATCAACTTTGTTGAAAGAAACATTAAATATTTAAGGAATATTAAACCTTTATCAACTGCTCATCCAAATATCACATGTCATTGAGACTGTGCAATTTGATCAAAAGAAGTTTCTAAAACCAATGGAGTATGGAAAATCAGTACCCTAAGGAGGTGGCAGAAAATTCAAATTTACCTTTGTTTTAATGGAGTCCAGCACATCAACAACTTTTTGAAGGCCTGGTTTAGCGCTGCCAACCTAAAGAAAAACATAAAGGGCAAGATACTATCACCCAGTTGGTACTGTACCAGTTTTTATTTTTATTTGGGTAGCTCTATTAGAAAACATCCAAATAGCCCAAATCCTCCACTTTATACATGACACCCATCAGTACTGGCTTGATGACACTGACACCATAGACTTGCCTACTTTCACCGAATCTTCAACCTGCCTCGGCTTCCACTCAGATAGTACTCCTGAAACCACTGGCTCAATTATCCCCAGTGACCTCTAACTTTTAGAATACTCTTCAAGGACTTGCCTTGATTTGGACTTTACACTACGGTCATCCCTTCTTTTTAAAAATTATCTTCTTCTTTGGCTTTCCCTATGCCTTCCAACATCCCAAATCTCTCTTAACTCTTGCCTTTTTTTTTAGAGTCAGAGTCTTGCTCTGTCACCCAGCCTGTAGTGCAGTGCCATGATGATAGCTCACTGTAACCTCAAACCCCTAGGCTCAAGTGATTTTCCTGCCCTTGCCTCCCGAGTAGCTGGGACTGCAGGTATACACCACCATGCCCAGCTAATTTTGTGTTTTTGTGTTTGTTTGTTTGTTTTATGCCCAGCTAATTTTTAAAAATTTTTCATAGAGATGGAATGGCGCTATGTTGCCCAGGCTGGTCTTGAGCTCCCGGCCTCAAACTATCCTCCTGCCTTGGTGTCCCAAGGTGCTGGGATTATAGGCATAAGCCACCACGCCTGACCCCTTTTAAGTTGTTTAATTTGCATCTCTCCCCTTGTAAAGGCCTTACATTTTGCAGTTTCTCATGATTGCCCCCTGGGCAGCTTTCTCATCTCCCTCTTCGTGCTGTACTTGGATGATTTCATAGATACCTGTAGCTTTCACCTCAACATAGGAATCAGAGCTCATAAATCTCCAGTCCAGACTTTTCTCCATTCCCCTTTACCACTGTTTAGAAGGCAGCTCAACCAGTTATGTCCCACTGTTGCCTGAAATTCACTGTCTTTCCCCTCTTCAGTACCTGATCTTACTTTATCATGATATAGTACTGTTTAGCCTCAGATTAAATGAAAAGAAAACAAACACCTAGCAGTCACCCAAGTTGATCTTTTTATGTTCTTCACGTTTACATTCAAACAGTACCGAATAAACACCTCTCCTATTGTCTTTCTGTCCTCCATCTCCACTGCAACTAGCAGATATGAAAGGAAGAGATAAACTTGAAAACATTTCAGGGACAAAGACATTTCCTAAGCTCTTTTGTAGAATGTCCTGTATGTTACAAATGTTCTGTCTGGTCATCCTTTATTAAAAATAGGAAAAAAAGAAATAATTGGGCCATCAACTAACCTTCAAAAAAATACCTAGAACGGCCAGTCCATCGGGTTGCTGCACAGCTTTCCCAAAATCCCCATATTTTGTGTTCCAGTGAACCAAGTGAAGCTAAGGTGAAGAGACAAAGCCACAGTGAGTGGTTTACACAATCAAAGCCGACAGATTTTGTCCAATGGTCTTTTTCTCACAGTAAAGGTTACTTAGGAAATTGAAAATATGGATAATTTTAAATCAAAACTTTCCTTTCATTTTAATTCTAATTATCCACAGAGTACTTGGTATAATAGCAAGTGTTTTCATCAATAACTCTAAGACAAAGAAATGTACAGTTTTGACAGAAGGCACACATTTGATATCCAAATTTATGTTAAAACAGGATCCTCTAATTTGAGTCTGTTTACTTTTTGCAAATGTTGGAGTTGGAGACAGTAGAGAAAGTTCTGCAGCATTAAGTATAATGTCACAATTAAAGGTTATAAAAAGCAAATATGAAGGTCCTTTGTAAAAGAAGTGGTTCACTGGGTGCGAGTTGAATTTACAAATTAAGCTTTTGAAATTAATGCTATCAACTTATAAACGTTTTTCCCTGGAAAGAAAAAAAATCTTACCTCTGCAGCATATTTCTTTTTATCCACAGTATGCTCAGAACCTTGCCCATCAAGTGAACCCCAGTGAAAGTGAAACTGAATCAATCTGTAAGTGCCATCCAGGGGTCCTCCCTTGATCACTATAATTAAAAACATATATACATGTAACATATATGTATGTATCTGCATACACATACACACATATGTATACACACGTACACTCATACACACGCACATGAAACACATGTCTAAATATTACCATCTTTAGTTCTATTTTACAGTACTAAATGTTTGCCTTTCATCACATTTCACTCTGAAAATTCAATCCAGAGTCAAGTTTAGTCTATGGTGCTGAACAAAATCACTTCGTCTGTTTTTATTCCTCACATGTGTTGTCTGGAGAAAGGATGCTTTTCACATCTTTCTTTCTGAGCATACTGATTCCTTTTTCTGGATTTGTTTTAGAGTCATAGATTCAGGTCCAGAGAGAGAAAATTTTAAGTGAAACTAATAATCCCTCTGTGAATCATTTAGGAAGCGCCCATGTAGCCACTGGCCAAATAATTGGTCTGCCACATACACTTGCAAACGTGGGACCATCTGTTCTACCAAGGCCCAATGGCTGCCATACAGCCTGCTTTGCTAACCTCTGATACCAGTTCTTACACACCCGAATTTGTGAAATAAGTATTCCATTGATCTTAACATTGCAAAATCCAATTATCCTTATATAGGCTTCCCAAATTCTTTAGAATTTGGACTGTCACTGCTGCTGGCTAGCTTTGTTCCCTTAATTTTTTATTATTTATTTACATATATTTTTATTATTATTATTATTATTATGGTGGCTCACACCTGTAATCCCAGCACTTTGGGAGGCTGAGGTGGGCTGCTCACGAGGTCAGGAGATCAAGTCCATCCTGGCTATTATTATTTTTTGAACAAAATCTTGCTCTGTTGCCCAGGCTGGAGTGCAGTGGTGCGATCTCAGCTCACTGCAACCCCCGCCTCAAGCAGAATTCAAGTGATTCTCGTGCCTCAGCCTCCCGAGTAGCTGGGATTACAGGCGTGCACTACCATGTCCAGCTAATTTTTATATTTTTAGTAGAGGCAGAGTCTTGCCTTGTTGCCCAGGCTGGTCTGGAACTCCTGAGCTTGAGTGATCCATCCACCTCGGTCTCCTAAAGTGCAGGATTACAGGCATGAACCACCGTGCCCAGCCAAAAGTTTTTATTAAACCTCTTTGACCTTAATTTACTCATCTGTAAAGTGGATACACTAAATTATTTACTATTTTACTAATAATTTATGGATCGTCTTCTATATGCAGTGTAATGTGCTCTATTATCTCTAAGAACTTAAAATTCTAACTTGATAACTATTCCATGATTCTACTATTTTGGCATTAATGTAACTTCACTAAGCAAAATCAGTACTAAAACTCACATACATGGGCTACGAACTATCTGTACATAATTAACAAGTTGCGTCTTGACAGAGGATTAAAATAGTGTGAAATCACTCTTTCTCCTCCCCTCCACCAAGAAACTCTGTACCTAACTTTATATATATTAATGGGATTTAACCAATATATTCAAAAGCTTTTAGAGGTAGTTTAGTTCTACAATTTAAATTTTATTTTTCTAGTACTGGGAATTAAACATCTGTTGCTATAAGTGTATTTTATTAGCTTTACTTTATAATTCCGTAAAATAACGAGCCCAAATTTACTTTGGCATTGCAGAACAAAGGGATAACTTCTGTACAACAAGATTTGTTCATGAGCTTCACCTAAATATGCTTACATGGTAGCAACACCCATTCAACTATTCAAAGTGAAACACTGCTTTGAAGATATTTAAGCAGTGAGGTCTTTCTGTGGTTCCTGATACAACCTCTGGCTGCCAGATCTGTTTTACAGTAGGCCAGGATAAAAAAGGAAGAATGAAAACAGAAAGAATTATAAATGGTGTTATGTTTCAGATCTGCTAAGAAATATGAATTTGGATGTATTCTGACAAAGTCACATCTCTTGGAACACCAAAACAACTTATTATGACAGTATGTTTCCTGATAATTCTATAAGGAAATATTAGCTTCTAATTCTAGACTCTTTTTAAGAGAATGAAAGAATTCTCTTTTTTTAATAATAATATACCCTTAAAAATTAAATATATGTTCATGAAATAAATTAATACTGAAAAAAATCCTTTATAATAACTCTTTAAAGCTAGCAACCAACTGGCTGATAATAAGAAGCAAATGTCATTTGTCACATCATTAATTCTACCAAGTGGTAAAACTAACTAAATAAAACCATACTAAGCATCTTGAGATAACCAGTTTTCCAAATGTAGCTTCTTTCTCCCCAATGAAGAATCATAGCAGGATCTTACATTTTAAGGAGAATAAAGTTTATTGCTATTTCTTATTCTTATTCTTTCTCTTACAAATCTTAAAATTTCATCTTAATTTGTTTCTAAGAACATTTAGAATTAGGCAAGAGTGTGTGCAAACTTTTATTAAACAATGCTTGCTAACAGCTAAGACAAAAAAAAAAGAAAAAGAAAAAGTACTCTGGGCTCAATGATTAAACACATTCAGTGCTAATCTCCTATCACCAGATACCTGTTTTAGCCCCTGTTAAAATAAAACTCATTGCTATGAAGATTAGAAACCCACTGTAACTAGAAAAAGTTATTAAATCCTTAACGTTTACTTGCTACAGAAGGCAACAATTCTAGCAAACTCTTAGCATGGAGTTTAGTCAATGAAGTCCTTCAAAAACATGGTTATAATAAATTGACATAAACTCAAACTTTTTATTTGCGAAAAATAAAAGATAATATTTTGGTTTAAGTTAGGGACTTTATGCTATATTCTTGATCTACTTATTTATTTAAATAATTCCATGCCGTTTTCTAAACTGTTGCAGTTTAAAATGAAATCTATTTTCTAATGTAAAAATAATTTTTAAAAATAGCAGAAATTGCTAACTGCGTATTTTTTCTCTGTAAAATCCAGCCATAGCAGTGGCGCTTTAAAGAGTCAATGGTTTATTGTGCCCCAGAAATGTGTTTTGTGCGGGATGGAGACATAAATACAGTTTTCTACTCTAACGTTTTTTCAAGACCTCCCAAATTTAATTTAAATTCAAATCTCAACATCAAGAGCTCCAGCCAATTTTAATTTTCATGATCTGTCATCAATTATACATACTCTATATATAACACAAAACAAGCACTAAGTGTAATGTTATAGAATAATCTGTCTTCCTATACATATTATTTGAGGAAATTATATAAATTACTTTTTGAGAAAAATAAGAGATCTAGCAATATTGAAATGAATCACATTGCTTACACAAATTAAAAGCTGAACATTTAATATTTTTTAATTTTTTCTCCCTAATCACTTAAACTAAATTAAGATGCACTGGAGTGACAGACTAAAGACCTTAATGAATGTCAACAGTTTCTTTTAAGTCCAAAATATAAATAAACTAGTCCCAATAATCTTTAGTTTAAAAATAAAATTTAAATGATTTCCTACTAATGAAGCAAATGATTAATTCTACAGAAAACATGTCATTTTCGGGACTATCGTTTCTATAAATAACCTGAAAATGTTAAAATCATGTATTACTGTGTTGCCCGTTGGCAGCAGCCAATAATCCTAAGGCTACGTGCCAATATAGACAAATCTGGGGATAAAAAACATACACGTGTTCCACTTGTTTTAAAGCAATAAGATGTGTAGCTGTCACTTTCGCTAGAGTAAACACAGTCGAAATTCAACAGAAGTTGTGGTTTAAGCTATGTGGCAATTATATAGGAGTAAAAAAAGAAGCTGTTTTGATGTGAATATAGTAACTATAGTGTTTAGAATATGTTGGTCCATTTTCTAGGTATTTAGGGTTTTGCTGACACCATGACTGTGTGCATGACAAGCCCTTTCATTTGTTGCCATGCTTTCTTTTAACTTAGGACTGCTGTGGAAGAAAACTTTTAGAGCTTCAAAAGCAAGTCTCTGAAAGTCAAGCAGGATCCATGTATGAAGATCCATTATGTCATACAGACAATGGGTCACTTAGAAAGAGCACAGGTAAACTCATCCAGCTTCCTTTAATCTTTTCTTGAAATAACAAACAGATTTTTAAAATTTCAATTTCTAAAAAACAGAAATGATGTAAGACTTGGATAAGAGTTGGCCCAATAATTCTGGCATTGGCTTTCAAAATTTGTCCCTAACTTTGCAATAAAGCAGGAGAGTATTAAACTCCTTAATAAAAGTTAATAAGTTAGCAGGAGTTAATAATTTGACTACTATTCTTTTCTCCTAGATAAGGCCATTAATAAAACATCTCAAGCAGGGTGAGTTATTATTTAATAAGTTTCTTTAAAAACCTAAAGGGATTAGCAATTTTTCATTAACTTAAGGTGAATTTAAGGTGGCTTATTTTCAAAGGAATTTAGAAGATTGATGAGAGCTCTAACCCAAGCTTCTAGTTAAATCCTATTAACTCCACAGTTTAAAAAATTCTCTCAAGCTTAAATCAGCAATAAAGTCAACTCACTCAGTTCCTGATACCCAAGTACCTAAGTTTGGATATAAGAGAACATTTAAAGCATATTGGAAAACCTCAATTTATGAGAAGTTCTAGAAGTCTGAAATCTCATTAAGACAAAGAAGACAGGTAAATGAAACGCATTTAAATACAGGAAATAAGAGGTATAGGAAATCTAAAAATGTTACCACCACAAAAATAACTCCTAACCAAAAGATGTTAAACTGTTGATTTTTTTTAAAATTAAATGAGTGAAATAAAAAACTTTTTGACTTAAGTGTACAGAAAAAAATGCCAGTTTTTAAAAAACATGGTATGTACAAACTAAATGTCAAATATGGTTATCCTTCAAATATTTTTATTCAAATTCTATTTTTAAGTGATTGCTATTTAGTCCCTCCAGCAAACTAGCAAGGAGATGACTTAGCAAGTTATTTAAACTCTTCGGCTTCAGTTTCTTCATGTTTATTTTAGGTGAGTTTAACTAGAGTATCTCTACTCTTTGTTTTGGCTTTGAGAGCCTAGGATTGTCTTATTTTAAAAAAAAAAAAAAAATTCTAAAAGGAGTTTTTCCACATGTTTTTTCTTTGTGTGTGGTTTTGTTTGTTTGTTTGTTTGTTTGTTTTGAGATGAAGTCTCATGCCATCACCAGGATAGAGTGCAGTGGTGTGGTCTTGGCTCACTGCAACCTCCACCTCCCGGGATCCAGATTCTCCTGCCTCAGCCTGCTGAGTAGCTGGGGTTACAGACGCATGCCACAACACCCAGCTCATTTTTTTGTATTTTTAGTAGAGACAGGGTTTCTACTACTGTTGGCCAGGCTGGTCTTGAATTCCTGACCTCAAGTGATCTGCCTGCCTCAGCCTTCCAAAGTGCTGGGACTACAGGTGTGAGCCATGCCTGGCCCCCACATGGTATAATTTTTTAAAATTTCTTCTGTAGATGTCTTTTCCCTTAATATTGACATTTTAATATATTCTGCATCCTTGTTTAACCAAAGTAACTGAAAATGTGGAAAAGAGAGGCAAAATTACAAAGGAATCTTTCCTATGCAAATGAGGGCAAGTCCTTCCTGACCTTGCTTTGAGTGTGCCTTCTTGCCTTTCTGGAGCACATGCTGTGCTCTCTTAAGTCCCCTGGTATTTCCTATCTCCCTTTGCCTGGACTCTTGTCCAAGACATCAAAATCCTTCAAGCCTCCACATAAGCCTTATTTACCCTGGAAAGTCTTTCCTGTCTTACACAGTTAGACTGCTAAGCCTCCTTCACGTTTCCATAGTTCCTCGGAATACTTCCTTTCTGCATTTATCAAAGTGGCAGTCAGGGTCTACTATTTCTATGTCTTTCTACTTTAGATATTTCCAGCATGGGCTCCGGGAAACAGGAGAGGGACCAGGCCTCCACCCTGCTTTCATGGTGCTTAGCTTCCCATGCATTTAAGTGGTGTTAGTAAGGATTTTTTTTTTTTTTGTAGAAGAACTAGGTGGATAATACATGTGTCTCTAAAGGCATGGGTGGGAGCTCCTACCTAAACGCCATGGTTTTCATCTGTTTCACAATCTAAACATGGCCAACTTCTTTCAAAATGTACGCATTACTCTCCACAAGAAATAGCTGCTAAAAATGTAGCTAGACCTAATTAGTTACTGCTTATGGAGAAATCCGTCAAAGTTTAACAGATTCATGGTAAAATATATAACTATATAATAACTTCATACATAAAATAAGTACATATTCAGTATGATAAACAGAATGTTTCAGAAAATATAAAAATAAAATTTTAAAATACCATCCAATGATGGGAACTAATCTTAAAGCTGTTAAAGAAAAAGTTTATTCAGAAATCTTACCTCAGGTGCAACATTTACAGCAATTGTCTAATAGAGGCGGTCAAAGGGTTCAAATTGTGACAACAACAGAGGCCATTTATTGAGGAACTTCTATGCGCCAGGCACTGGGCTAGGTGCTTTACATATACTGTCCCATTTCATCCTTCCACTGTGGCAGATACTATTGTTACTCCAACTTAACAGTTAAAAACAACTAAAACCTAGACAGTATTACTCGCAAAGTCTCTGAGCTAGTTGTCGGCAGAGCTAGAACTCAACTCCAGGTCTCTCTGACCCCGGTCTATGCTGATAACCACCAGACCATATGTTCAAATCCACTTTCCAATAATATGTATTACTAGAATAATTTATTTCACTATCCATTTTCTAAGGACGATCAGGAACCTCATCTGCTTTCATTTATTGGAGATTTGTTTCTTCAGCGTTCCAAAAAAGACTCAAAGTATCCAATTTCTATGTAGCATCCAATGAGATACAAAATTTGGTAGACATTACATCCATTGAAAACAATGACATCATTGTGGCTCTTTCAAAAAGCACAGCTACAGACTAAAGTAGCTCACTTCTTTTGGTTTGTAAATGACTAGACATGAAATGTTACAGTATCCTTTCTGTATGTGTAATACCTTGAGACCTTTGGCCTTGTCATGTTATAAATATACATGACATATATTCTTTACAAGAAAAAAAGCGTTTAATTTAATTATATAACACTGTTCCTTTGGAGTGAGAGAAATGCTTGGGAAAGCAATGTAGCAGAATCACTGAACTGTCTTCAATGTACAACCTTGACTTGATTCTAATAAATCATCATACTGTGTCAGAATGTGTGAGTATGATTGTGAGTGTGTGTGTGTGTGTGTATGTATGTATGTGTGTACTGGGGAGGGTGCACACAGGCAGGCACAGGTAGGTTGAAAACATTTCTCAGATGATCTCCACATTATCCCCCATCTAATTGTCTTCCAGAATCACCATTTCAGAAAGCCAGGTGTTTACAAATTTTTTAAAAGTTGAAAGGAGGGAAAAATTCTTTTTACAAAACCAAGCTGACTATATAGGATAGCTGCTGACAAAGAATAGTCAACCCAAATGGTTATAATTGCATGTTATACAATATATTAGTACCGTAGGTCACTACTCCAAAACTTTCTCATTTTGCTGCACCACTCCCCTCACTCCCACCACCAAACAAAATGTGTTTGCAGCACCATTTCATTCAATGACCTTCCGAGGAAAGCACTCAGGAAAATAGGGCACTGGCAATTAAAGTAACTGCTGAGCAAAGAAGGCAGCTACTATGTCTGAATGGGATTGTTCTCTTGTTTCAAAAGAGAGAGAGATTAAAAAAAAAAAAGCTTTTTTTTTTTTTTTTTTTTTTTTACAGTGAGCATCCTGTAAACAGCTCTATTACAAATAAATATGGTAATTGGTTTTGTCAGTAATGGGCCAGGTATGTCCATCAACTCTACAACATCTTCGTTTGTGGAATGAATTTCTGAGTAGATATCAAAATATGCTGCCATCTTTATCACACTAGCCCAATCTTAAGAAATACCCATAACATTTTCCAAGAATTTCAGCATTTTAAATTGGCACGTTTTCTGTTACTCTTCTCGCTGCTACCTTGAAGATAAGGCTCACTAAGATATACTTTTTAATGGATACGCATCAGCTCTGGAAGACAAATATTTTACAATCTTAAAAGTTCAATTAGTGCAAATCTCATCATAATTGATCTTTATTGCTAGGGGACTTTGTGCCTTTTGTGACTTTTCACAGGCATATCGCAGTTATTCAATGCCCTATATAGAAGTCAGGGATTTCACAGAGGAGAAACGGCCGCGGGACACTTCAAACTAATTAGCCTACTTCTCAGAATCTGAGACCTAATGAAAATGATCAGGGTGGCATCCTTGAGTCCTGAGACAAACTGTGCTATTAAGAGGGTTCCTACCACTGTTCCTGGCTCCTTCCATTAAGCTTGGAAAACAGCTACTGTCTAAAATACACAAGTTATTTTCTAAACACTGACCTGCTTTGTCCTGAGAGTCATCAAACTCCACGTTGAAAGAATGACCATTGTTGAGGATCCTCAGAGAAGTTGCTTGATCATAGGAAACAGACAGGGGCTTCAGGGAAGGGTCATACTTGGCTGTATGAGTGTCGATGTCAACAGGGGACTGGCGCTCTCCCTTGGCAATGGGGAAGTCCTTATGCCAGTGCTCAGGTCCTGGGGGAAAGAAGACGTGTGAATCCCCCATTGTAGGGAAAGGTACACCCAGACCCCTAGAGAACAATCATTCCGAGCCTATCTGCTCAGTTCCAATTTTAGAAGCACCACTTAACAGTGGGGTAAATTTTGGCAAAACACGTAATCTGTGCCTCAGTTTCCACATTTGTAATATGGAATAATTAGAAATTTACCTCATAGATGTCGCTGTAACAATTAGAATTGATATATGTAAAGTTCTTAGATCACTGAGTGCTATATAAATATTAGCTATTTTAAAGTCGTTTTACTGAAATTCAGCAAGTGAAGTTGGGCAGACACTAATGTCAGGGCTTGTGGTTGGGATTTTGGGATATGCAAGCTCACTTAAGACATTCAAGGAGATCCGGATCCTTTCCTCACTGCCCAGGCCCGGGCCCACCCCTCCTTTAACCGTCAGGGTCCCCACTACCTAGGAAGCCCCACACCTTCCAAAGATGCGCTAGGTGCGCCAGAGGCATGCTTCTCTGCTCCGCTGGCTCGGAAGAACCAGGTCTGAGGCCAAGATAAAACCTGATTCCTGGTGTCCGACCCCCTAACATTAGAAGTCGAGAGATGAAGGGAACACTCGGAAATCAGCGCCATGGATTCAAACCAGCACTGGAAAATGCCCCGGGACAGTTCGTGCTGAGCGCCTTAGCCACAGGTGGTGCTGAAACTGCAGGGGTGTGTGGGGGTGGACTGGGGGGGGAGGGGAAGGGGCAAGGGGAGTCTCTTAATTTCTCTGCGATCAACAACTAGAATTTTCCGTTGCAACCCTTCCCCGCCTCCTCCTAGGTCCGGTTAAAATGATCCCCCAGGTCGGGACCCGGGAGGAACTGTCCTCGGGTCCCGCGGCCAGGGCTGCGCCTCCCCTCCTTCGGGCCTGTGCGCCTCGGGCGGACGCGGGGATTCCTCGACAGTGGCCTCGCAGCTGGGGCAAGGGGGGCATCCCCGGCGCCAGGGAGCCGCGAGCGGAGTGAGCGCCCGGGGCGCACCTGAGCATCCAGCGCTCCCCGCGGCCGCAGTAAACAGCATGTGCGGGTGCTGTGGGCCCCGGGCCGGCATCCAGGCTCGGGGATCCGGGATCTGGGGGCCGCCGCGCCGGCCACCGCCGGCACTCACCGTTGTGCTTGCCGTACCCCCAGTGATGGGACATGATCGCGCCGGCGGTCGGGGCTGGCCAGGAATCGGCACCGGTCTAGCGGCGGCAGCTCGGGCGCCTGCACTGTATGTCCGCGGGTCGTGCCGGCACCGGCTTTTATAGGCTCCCGCCAACTTCGTGCTCGGGGGCGGCCCGGGGGAGGGGGCCCGGGTGGACCTAGGCGACAAGGGGAGGAGGTGACGGGCGGAGGTGATCTCCCCGCGCTCGGGGCGGGCCGGGCGGGCTAGGCTCCGGGGGCGGGGAAAACGCCCTCTCGGCGGGCGTTCAGCGGGGCTCCGGGGCTCCTCTCCCGTCGCCCGGCTCCCCTCGGCCCGCGTCCGGGCCCCAGTGTCCTGGGCTGGCAGCGAAGCTTGGATCTCTGGGCTCGCGTCGGCTGGTGGCTCCTGGGCTCCTCCGTCCGACCCGGGCCGCGGAGCGTCTACGCGCACCCCATCCCCCTCCCGGGCGCGGAGTCTGGCGGCGGCGGGGACTACTCGGGACCCGGACCCCCGGCGCCTTTCATCCCCTGTCCCCATTGTGATCTGTCTCCTGGCCCTGGAGCCCTTCCGCCCCACCCGCGCCGGGGTCTCCAGCGCAAAGGGCTCCGTTTCTGGTTTCCCCGGCCTGGGGCTGGCAAGCTGGGTTAGGAGCTATGACCTTGGGGCAAATAGGGATACGATCCTGGAGGCGCAGGGGAGCGCGCAGCACTGAGTGCTGAGAGCCACGCGCCCTCTGCTGCACGGCCGTGGAATAAAACGAGACAGCGGCGCCACAGTCCCCTGCCCGCAGCCCACGCTTGGGCCAGCCTGGAGGATTGCATTTCCTCGTAGGCTGGCAGAGCCTCAGACGAAGTGTTCATCTTCTCCTTCTACTTTCCTTCTCTTTAAAAAATTAACGTGGGTGAGGAGATGTCCTAAGTTGAGTACATATTGATTTGAAATAACCAAAACTTTTAACAAATCACTTTTCTCGGAAGAATCTAGTATGAGAAAGATAATTTCTTCCAAAGGTAAGAGAAGTTCCCCGGCTGGCCAAAAAAACTTGGCATCTGGCATGCCTAGGAATCATTCAAAATAGTTTAATAGGAAGAACATTTTGAGGCCCAGCCAGCATTATGACTTTCGTGGGTCCTATGGAGTTTCGCCTTGGGGGTTCCCTTTTTCGTAAACACGCATTTATACCTACACTGAGATAAAGATAAATACCTTAATATTATATATTTAAACATTTTCCTTGATCAAAACCTATTTTTTTCTTTTTTGTTCTTATTTTAAAAGGAAACATTTTCCTGAGCATCTAAAAGTATTGTGGACCTGAGGCACTGTGCTTACAGGGTCTAATGGGTAAGTGAGGCTGTTTTGAGATATAGACAGAATTCATTTCCTACAAGGGACTTTGCCACAAAAAAAAATCCTGGGGATTGTGGGAAGGAGTTCGGTTCTGTGGTCTCTGCAATCTCTGAGGGCAATAGTATTAGAGTTACAGTTGGGGAAGCAGGACACAGTTTAATGTGATTGTGTCGGCCTTGACATCACATTACTTACATTTGAAAATATATAGATAAATAAAAGGTAAGTTATTAGTGTACATTTTTGCAATATTTATCTCAAAATCACTCTTTCAATTTCACCCAAACAAATACGATTCATGTTTAGACTTACTTGTTCTTCTTCTAAGATTCTAGAAAATTGTGTGCTTCTGCTTATGTGGGTTTTGGGTTGATGTCACAGTGAATTCTTAGGCACGAAAGCAGCAATACATTTTTAAAATTTTTAGGACCATTGCAAAATGGAGTTTATTTGTGCCACTGTAGGTGCATCCTATCTGTTGGGTCCCAGTGAGGTAACTTTGATTCTTTACATAATTTTATTTTTTATTTTTTATTTTTTTTGAGACGGAGTCTCGCTCTGTCGCCAAGGCTGGAGTGCAGTGGCCGGATCTCGACTCACTGCAAGCTCCGCCTCCCGGGTTAACTTAGTTGCTGTGAGACTCTTCACTTGGCCCTGGGGATATGGCGTTGATAGGTGCCAAGAACTGAGTACAAAGTTTATGAATGTAGAGTGGGTTCCCGGGATTCTGTAGAGAGAGCCAGGCTATTTGATCAGCAGAAATGCTTGTTTTTCGTTTTCTGTGAAGCTGGATTATGACTTTCCTAATAGGGATGAAGTAAGAGCATGTTTGATTCTTAAATATGTGTAAAACTTCAAACACCACCAAACTGCAATTCACCAAATGGATTATTGTTGTGGGAATTTTCCCTTATCTCTCACTTCTGGAAAGTGAATTAATTCTCAGTGGGAGCAGGCCCTCCCCACAGAGCTGCTGTTAGGGAGAGTATCACATGTTCACCACAGGGTGGAGAGTGGTTTGCCTTTGGTTACTCAGAAGCAATCTAAATTTTTTAGTAGCGTTTTTGGTAGTACAGTGGTTGGCTTAGCATTGTTTTATTTTCCTAGTCAATTGTTTTAAATGGAGTTAACTTTATGCATTCAGGTCAGTCAGTCCCAATCTAACTTTATTTTACTGAAGGCATTCTTAGCAGGCTGTCATGATTCACTGGCTGCAAAAGACTACTCTAATACTGGATTTGTGAAAATAAAAAAAAATACTTATCTTATTATGTACCTATGTTTCCATCAGAGGGAAGGATTGGCTCATTTCAGAATAATCCTAAGTAAACGAACTGACAGTAACTGAAGAAAAGTACTTTTCTTTGCCCCAGAAAAAAAAAAAAAATCAGTCAGTATATCAGGAAAATGTAATATAAAAGAATCTTAAAGTCTGTGTTCCAATTATTGGAATAAAAAAACTTCTAACATATTAATCTTAGTAAAAATGTAAAAGAAAAAGTATTCGCTTTTTCTCAAAAAATGTAAAGATATTGTTAAGATATTTTACAAAGTGAGATATACATTATTTATTAAATAATTTAAAAGCTAATAAAAAGCTAGATATTCTCATACTTGTTACAATTATAGTGTTAAAGTAAATATCTGGGACTGGACTCAGTGGCTCATGCCTGTAATCCCAGCACTTTGGTAGGCCAAGGCAGGCGGATTGCTTGAGCTCAGGAGCTCAAGACCAGCCTGGGCAACATGCAAAACCCCGTCTTTACAAAAAATAAAAAATTTGCCAGGCATGGTGGTGTGCCCCTGTAGTCCCACTTAGGAGGCTGAGGTGGGCGAATCGTAGCCCAGAAAGTCGAGGCTGCAGTGAGTCATGATCATGCCACTGCACTCCAGACTGGGAAACAGAGTAAGACCCTGTCTCTAACTAAATAAAAATAAATAAATATCTATGGAGGCCAACAGCCACTTGTTTCTTGGGGCTCCCATAGATCTTTGCATGCACATCCTTCTGTCCTAATATTAGCAATTCTGCATTGTAATCAGACACTCTGTTTTAATCATTGGCTTATAATCCAATGACCCAATAAACTGTTGACTGCTCATTTGTAAAGCAGGAATAATGACACCCACCTCATTGTTGTAAGAATTCAGTCGGTGAGCATAGGTAAATCACCTGTCACGTGTAGGCACTCAGTAAATGATGGCTATTCAGTTCCTCCTAGACAGTGCTAAACAGTTAGAAAATAATGTAAGGAATGCAAAATTAAACACCTGGGCCAGGTTCAAGGGAAACATTTAAGAGGAATGAATCTCCAGCAGCAAGAGGCGTTTTTTTTTTAAGCTGTTTTTTATTTTTCAGTTTTTATTTTTTTGTGGGAGGACAGAGGAGTGTTTGTGTCATGGAGATGTGCATTCTACCACACTTGTGTTTTTCTTCTTAAACTGTGCCCCCTGAAGTTGGGTACTGTGTCACATTATTTATCTCTGTATCTTAGGCACCTAGCACCCTTTACCTAGGCTGAGTCCCAGGATACGTGTAGTGGCTACTCACATAGTACTCCTTGAAATTATAAACTTTGAAAAATCCAAATGGAGATAACGGCAGTTTCACTTTGCAGAAGTTAGTAAATAATTTTGTTACAGATTACAGTTAGCAAATAACGTTGTGCTAAAATTAGGTTGGTTTTTAATCTGGATTAATTTACTAGCTTTGTAACTTTGGACAAATTGCTTGATTGTGCTAAGATTCAATTTCCTCGTCTGTAAAACTAGGGTAACAGTAATACCTGCGTCACAGAGTTGTGGTGAGGACTAAGATGATACAATCTGTGTGAGGGATTTAACCTAGTGCCAATAGTTAGAACTTGATCAATGTTAGTTATCATTACTACCATTACATGTTTCTCAGCTCCTATTTTGTGCTTAATATTTTCTATGTGATAAGTGGGCTACACAAGATGACTCGTGTCTTCATTCATTCACTCAGCAAATCATTCCGAGTGCTATTATGTGTCAGGCATCAGCACAGAGGCTATAGCCATAAACCAGATCAACATAACTCCTGCCCTCACAGAGTTGACATGGGGATGGATGAGGGTACTATACAATAAATGACTCAAAAAAAAAAAAGTAAATTTCCAATACTGAGAATTAGTATGAGGAAAGTAAAACAGGAATGAGGTAAAAAATAACAAGTGAGGAAATCCTACTTTAGATGCAGTGATTATAGAAAACCTATTGAAGGAAGTACATTTGAGGAACCACTAAAAAAAGATCTGGGGAAGGGCATTTCAGGCAGAGGAAACAGCAAGTATAAAGGCCCTGAGAAAGGAAGTTTCTAGAACAGAAAAGCTTGTGACTGGAGCATGGCGATTGAGGAAGAAAAGACAGGTAGTGACGTCAGAGAAAGTCAGGGGCTACAGCCTGCAGAGCCTTGCAGACAATGATAGCAAGAAAGGATTTTATACTGGTTGCACAGGGAAGCCACTGGGGAGTGGCTTATGCACAGATGTATTATGTGCTGGGTGGGTGTAATACAAACTGCAACAATATCGCATTGTAGAATTAAAAGAAGTTTGGAGGTTAACTGATCCAATTCTTTATTTTATAGATGAGGAAACTTGTAGAAGTCCCCAGATACAACATGCTGTTCCCTACCTCCTTGCTTTTATTCATCTGACAACTTCCTTTACAGAAAGATCCAAACTCCTTCTTCTGACTATAAAGCCATTTAATCCTGTCTCTGGCTTCCCTCTTGGGCTCTGAGTCTCTCAGTATCCTTCTTTGGTAAGATGGGAGGCAGCATCACATGTGGTCAAGAGCCCAGGTTTTATAGTTTGGATTTGGCTTCTAGGACTTCTTCACTACATGATCTTATATTATTTGTTTCGCCTTCTCAAAGCTCAGTTTCCATATGTGAAATGTAATGAGTACCCAGGGCTGCTGATCGTGTCAAATGGACTAGTTTGTGCGAATTGGTTGT